TTGGCTTCACCGGTCTATTTATACCACTTCCATTATATACACTAAACTAACAGGCCGGGCGGGGGGGGGGGGGGGGGGGGGGGTGGAGATACATTTTAATTTGTTATTTTAATAGTCGAGCGGTGAACAGTTTGGCGTGGAAGGTATGGGGGTGTTATTATTTTTGTTATTATTATTGAAATAGCAAAACGAGCTTAGTGGGCGGGAATAAAACGGAAGTGGTGTCCAAATACATCTGTAAAGTGGGAATAAGAAATAATTCGGGAAGGGCGGGGGGGGGGGGTTTAGATTTCATTGCATTAGAATAACGGGATTACAAAAGAAGATTTTAAGTCTTCTTCTATTCTGCACTGTATCATAATTCTATTTGGAGTAGGGCCACTTCACGTTATTTACACTTAAGTCTGCTTTATCCTGTAAAATAAATAGTCTGAATAAATGATGTAGTAAAAATTGAACTCAAATATTATAATCATATGATGCAATAACCATGCCGTTAGCAAGAAGTGATCATTTGTCCTAATGTAACATTAGTTGTGAAATTATTGTACACATCTTTTTTTTTACTTTAATATAACGTCAAACAGCCGTCGGTACCTTTCTACGGTACTTAATATTGCTTTTTCCCTCCTTATATGTAACGGTTCTACATTGGCCAAGACCTCTAAAGCAGCTGTGGGTGTGGTCCTGAATACGCCAGAGATGAAACTCAGAGCATGTTTCTGGATTCGGCCCAACCTTTCCAATGCGGTTTTGCTAGCAAAGGATTGGACTGACATACTATAATCCACCACCGACCTTACACTGCCTAGAAATAGAGCTCTAAGCGTTCTTGCGCCCACGCCCCAACTTGTGCAAGCCAATTTTTTACCAGATTGAGTTTGGCGGTTTACTAGGAGCAGAAGTCTTGTAAAAATTGTGTATGTGTACCTTTTGATCCAATTTGACTACCAGGTAAACCGGTTGCTTGTCCCATTTGAGCGCTACATCGCCCACCTTGAGCTCGATCTCCTGTTTGAGAATGGTCCGCCCATTTGTGAATAGCCAATAGACCGTCTTCTCGGTGTTAATTTCCAGATGCCAACGCCGCATGAACCTATTTATAGCAGAAAGGTCCTGCTGTAATAGCGTTTGCGGGCCGTGGACATCTTTACCGGTACTCCAGATAACCCAATCGTCGACATACATAGCAGCACTGGTTGCTAAAATTTGTGGCAAGCCATTGATGTAGGCTAGGAAGAGGGTGCAACTGAGGGCTACCCATGCGGGAGGCCTTCTTCAAGGGTTCTCTTCCCGGAGGTTTCGCTGCCAATATTCGTGCAGATTGTCCGGTTTGTAAGAAAACCGGCAACCCACCTGTACATGTTATCGACCAGAGAAGACGGAGTACCTGATCCACAGGCTTCATTCCCTTGCAGAAGCCCGCTTCTATTGGGCTAAGGCTCCCGCTACTCTCCTGGTACCAGTAGAGCCTCTTGTTAACCATTCTCTCGGTTACTTTCCCTAAACACGATGTTAGGTAAATTGGACGGTGGCCGGTCGGTCTAGTTTCTTCTCTTCCTTGGGAATAGGGACGATGGTAGCGCTAAGCAAAGCTCTGGATAGGATTCCTGTTAACAAGGATCTGTTAATGATTGACCATAGCTGTGTCCTAGCTATCGGGCCAAGGTTTTTGATCATTTCATTTCAGATCTTGTCTGGACCAGGTGCCTTGGCGGCGTTGCACTTGTCGATGGCGGTTAGAAACTCAGTCATAGTGACAGATGCGGTAAAGACTTCAGCGTGATGTCCCCACCGTTGGGCCACTTCTCCATGTTGCCGGAGGCGGTTTAGGTTCTTTCTCTCTCTCTGGACTCCTTCTGCTTCCGATTTATCTTTGCTAAATGCTTGTTTAAAGCTTCGGAACTTTGGCATCTGTGGTAGCCATGCCTGTCGTCGTTTGCAATGAAAGCAGATTTTGAACCTTTCCCATCAATCCTTAGACCTTTTTTCCCTGTTTCAGGTCGAGTTTTCCATATGTCCCAACCCATTTTTCCTTCTTCGCCATATCGACCTCCTTCCGAACCTCAGCCGTCAGTTTATTGTAAGCCGCGCGAGCAGCAGCCGTCTTCAACTTTCCAGCTTTGGTCCGGGCCTTCTTCCGTTTACGAACCCTCTCTGCCAACCTCTTGTTCTAAAAGGAGCGGAACTTGCGGTTCCCGTTTGTTCTAGGGATAGTTATTTTAGCCATTGTGAGGATACCACTCACGAAATTGATGTATGCAGTTTCAATGTTTTCAGAGGTATTAGGAATCCCAGCTGATTCCACGATCGTGCTCTCTATTCTTTCACGGAATACAGTCCACTTGGCTTTGCCGAACAGCCAGAGTCTCCTAGCAAACCTTGGCTTTGCAAGCACAAGATCGATTGTGGTGAGGGTCGGTCGATGGTCACTACCAACCTCAGCCAAGACTTCGCACTGTAGAGCTACGTCCACTTCCCGGCTGTGGAGTAGTTTGGTGAGATCGGGTATTTTCCCTCTGACCCCGTTGCAGTTAAGCTGCAAAACTACTTAAGTTGTGGGGAGGTGACCAGCGGCACCTTGCCTAGTGCTCCCGCTAGCACCAGTGCCTACAGTCGGCCTGAGCCCCGCCACAGACCTGTCATTTTTTTACTAGCCATATAATTGAATAATGTCTAGGCTTTACTTTCTTACCTTCTCAAGGGGAGAAGTCACCGAAGCAACCTCTCTCCTGGGAGACAGACGTAGTGACGTGAGTTTTTTTAGCTTCGGGTAGTCTGCTTTACCTTACTACTCGGTCGCGCCACGTAGAGGCAAAACTCTTGCGGGAACCGCCGCAGCGAAACTTTGACCGTGTATGGCTAATAAAAAGAATCTAAATTTTACTTCAAAATATTTTAAAAGAGTAGTAAATGGTAGGCTAGCCGATTAAAATGAATGACGAGTTGCATCCAAATATTAAGGTGGTCGATATAATCCAAATAATTAAGGCAAACCTAGGTATTGAGTTAGATTTAAAAAAAAAAAAAAATTAAAATTAAAACACAATACAATAATTGAATGGTTGAAAAAAATTAAGATTTATCGTATGCATAGGGGCGTCCATTAATTACGTCAACAAAATAGGAGGGGGGGGGGAGTGGAAATGTTTGACATTTGTTGACAAGGGGGATGGGGGAGGTTTAGATTGTTGATGTCAACAATCATGTTTTTACTATTAAAATTGTATTCTTAAAACTTGACTGGTTCTTACATTATTTTAAAAAATTTAATGGGTGTAAATAGTCATATATGTTTAGGCTTTTAACAATACAAGAGTTATTTAATGCGTGTCTGTCTTTACTCTGCTGATATTTGGTCAGAACGTTAGCACACTTTGTTACTGCAAGAGAAGTCAAAAGTTAGCATCTCTTCACCCGTTTTCTCTTAATCCGCTCCCTAAAATGAGTAACACATCACTGTACAAGGTGTTCAATTTAAAAAAAAACACCAACTCATCGGTGTTCAATAACAACTATCCAACTCAAATATAGAGAGAGCTTATGGCAATTATTGCTCATACTGACAATACTTCTATTTTTAAGTGCTGAATGGTTAGATAAGGATGATGTTGACTTGTCTGGTATATCAGTTCCACAAGAAAATGATAAAGCAACTACTATAGACTATGCCAATCAGAGGCGTCATTTAAGGTGGGGGGGTCAGGGTAAAAAATGGGGAGGGGCAAAACCAAAACTTGGTCGGCTTGTTAAGTTGTTTATTACTGGAGGCGCCACAGTACATAGCAATTTAAATAAAACCATCAAAACCAGTGGGGGGGGGGCGCAAATGTCCCATACCCTACACAATTGATGCCCCTGATGCCCGTTTTTACGATACAGCGACACCTGGCCACTCCATGGGAAGATGATAGCATCTAGAAACTTTACTATAATTGTCAGCTATACTGACAATAATCATATTTATACTTCCACAAACAGTGATATGTATCCCTTAACAACCTTTTAATTGATTCTGCATTGTAAAATTTAAGTGTAAAAACGTTTCACCATGTTGATTAACAAACTAAATATGTACTAAAATGATTTCCCTACAATTGTATGTGTCATTTAAATAGTCAGCACAAAGTAAAATGTATTTATAAATCTATTTATATTATAATTCATTGAGGGGGGGTATAAAATATTTAAATAGGGGGGGGTAGGGGGGGGAGGGGTGGTAACAGAAATGCGTAAAAATTGTTGACGTAATTAATGGACGACCCATACTCATGGTGCACGTTTCATCGGGAAGTAACATAAACTTTAAATGCTCATAGAGGCCTATATTAATTGTTTAAAATAGCTATTCTCTTTTAAATATCAGAATAATAATACAAAATATTGCCCAACTACTTTACAAGCATTGCTCTGAATCTTTAACAACTCTAAAATAGTTTTCAAATAGGAAGTTGAAAAAAAAAAAACAGTTTCCCTGAACTCTTTTGGACATTTTCATAACTATTTTCTTTATTATTTGCTGTACTTACTTTTATCAGATTTATTATATTTTAATTCAAATTTGGAAAAATAAATTTGCCTTAAAGTCATAACATCTCACGGGCATTTACAATCACAATTTAAATTTTCATTTCTTGTGAAAACAATTTTAATTCTGCATTGAAAACTCATTCAAATAACTTTGTACTTATTTGTTCCTGAACTAATGTGGGTTTGAAAATATAGTTTAAACAATCAAAGGAAAGCGACAATGAAAAAGCAATAAGATTTTATTTTGATTGCTTATGTTCTCTTGAATATGAATAAATACTGGATTGGACAAAATTATTTAAAACACGATATATAATATTTTTAATAAATGAATACATTTTAGCATAAGATTTGATTTTTTATTGTTCTTAGTTTTTTTCAGTTAAAAGAATTATTTACTGTTAATTTTTTTTTATCGATTCAAAAATTAAACCCAACTTCTCTTCCAAGCTAAAATTCTATGTTACTGAAGTTGTCTGCCCTTTGCTTCTAAATGCAGCCGTATTTCCTTCTTCAACTCAACGAAAATGAAAATGTTTGTTGGATATTAGGGATAGTTCAATCCTCCTGGGATTTTTTAATTTTAACTATAGTTAACAAAGGCATTAACAAAATGCCTTTTGGTATTAAGCCTGTTTGTACCTCATGTAAAATCACAATTTCTCCTATTTGGAGAAAAGGTCCGCAGGGTGAAGTGCTTTGTAATTCCTGCGGACTAAAACAGTTGAATGGATATTCTTTGGGCACTAACGCCCCAACTAAAATCGAAGGCAGTGCAAACGGATTAACGAATGGTGGTACTAAAAGTGGTGGCTCTACAGTGGGGTCTTCTGTTTCTGGAAATGGAGCACCAGCGTTACGTAAGAGCACTAGAATAAAGCCAACAAAGAAAACAACACAGTCAACAAATAAAAATTTATCTACAAAGGGCAAAGGACGCAGAATAACTTTTAAGAAAAACGTTAGTATTTTGTTTAAAAAATTGTTGTTTGTTAACCTCTTTATTTTTGGGCCATCCACATGTCATATACCCCCACCCCACACAGTTGCATACCATTAGCCATGGGCGCCCGCAGAAAACTTTCTGGGGGGGGGGGCAAAAAAATCGATTAACTTTCAAGGGGGGGGAGCAAAAAATTTTTAGTAATGTTTTAATGTAGTTTTAATTTACTGTAGCGTATTTGTATGGAGAACGAACGGACAGGACATCAGCTTAGTTACTTTCTCTTTATTTTCTCTTTACTTTAATACATTTTTTGTCTATCTTTGTCTAAAAAATTTTTATCCAATCAATCAAGGGGGGGGGGGGCAAGTGCCCCTACCTGCGGGCGCCCATGCCATTAGCCCGGTGACCAGAAATATGCGCACAAGACAAATGCGCACGCGATAAACGCGCACAAAAAAATCCGCAAATACATAGTTGCGCACAGAAAAACTGCGCGCAAAGAAAAGACCGCACACCCACAAATGCTGACACAGAAAATTCCGCACATGGACAATTGTGAACGTTGACAATAGCAAACACACACAAATGCGCACATTTCAATGAAATTTTATTTTCAGCCATATTTTTAGATTTAACATGGTTTAGTTCAGTTGCCTATCAGCACAAAAGGCAAGTTGGGAAGAATAAAAGTCAACGAATCAGTGAGACAGTATGATAAAAATTGAATTTAAAAATAATTTAAACAAAAAAACTTATATAGCGAAATTTTTGTAAACTTTTGTAAATTTTTGTATTATCATGCTAACAGGCTAATTTACCATAAAAATTAATCATTAATTAATGTAAATTATTTTTATGTTTAACTTTTTGAAACAATAAAATTAACAATAATATTATAATAGGAACAATAATTGTTGTGTTTAAAATTGTGTTTCTAGATTTAAGTTTATTATGCAAAACTACTTTGTATGATAATAATAATAAAATAAAGAAAATCCTATTTATAAAAAAAACAACTATTGCTGCAACCATAACAAAGCATGTTATTTCTTTCAAACATCTTAAGGTCTCTCACAAAGTAATATTGAATACACACTATTTATCCAAGTGTCAGTGTCATGGCTTTTAATTTTGTAGTAAGTGTAGCCCCCTAAAATTAATGTATATCATTTTAAAATTAATTGAATGCTCCTTAATTAACATTTGTTTCTAAATATATAAATAAATTTAAAGTGATTTATTTTAAAACAAATAAGCGTGTCAATTTAAAAAGATAAATTGCATGTGAATATTATGATATTAAAGTGAGATTTTTCTACCACATACCAGTATACAAGATTGCAACACATTATAATTTCAAGTGAATAATTCTGTAAACTTTGTTTTAAAAAGTTACAAGTAATTTAGACAAGATTTTAAATAAAATGCTAACCCTCAAAAATTAAAAATATCAAACTATTGTAAATAATTATTTTTTTTTTTTAATTTCAAAGGAAAACATTTAAACAATTATCACATAAAATTCATATTAAGTACTTTGTGCTAGATTAAAATTGAGTAGACAAAGCAAAAACAATGTTTCTTTAAATAAAAGAAAAAATTTAACCAAGCCAGAGGTGTGAAACCAACTGTAGATGATGTCATGGTCATTCATTGAAAATCTTGAGGAAAATAATGCTAACTAGTTTTTTTCCATTACAAATTGATTTTCAAGACCACAATTTTATAACATTAGTGCCTACCATTTTCAAGACCACAGTTTTATAACATTGGTACCTACTATTTTCAAGACCATAATCACATGGCATTAGTACCATTATCAAGACCACAATCATATAGCATTTTAATTAGTGCATACCCTTTGCAGAAAACCAAAAGTGTATTGGGTCCTATCCTGCATTTATTCATTTGTGTAATAAAAATATAGTCAATGAATCAAATCCATTGGGATTCGAAATTTCCTTAAATCGTCTCTTGTTTTAAGAACAGGAAACTGTCTGTCTTAACTCTGCTTGGTGGAAATAACCTTCCATTATTTACACTCACAATCATAATTATACTATTCATAGACATAGATTATGTTTAAAGACTTTGTAAAAAAAACTACATTAGTTAATCCCTGAGACATTAACAAAGAAATTTACAATAATAGAACAATATGCTAATAAATAGTAGGACTAAATACATTTCACTGAGAGAAAAAAAAAATAAGGAAAACAGTTCAGTTCTTACAATTACAAAATAAATTATAGTAGATATATCCAGGACTTCTGTTTGGGTAATTTTATGATTGCTTTCCTGAGTTTACTAAAGTAAAACGTAATCAGCTAATATTATTCTTTTTTTAAAACTTAATAATATAGCAAATATATGATATTCGGATTATCTGTATGAGTGTAGAGCATTCTATAGGCTATAACTATAACTTAAGGAAGTTATTTTTAACTACTATAATGAAACTCAATTAGGCTTAGGTAGGCTACTAGTAAGTGGACCATTATATTAAACTATAATGAATAATAAAGCATAATTAGGCCTCGACTAAGACTAAGGGTAGGAGGATTATTTTGAACTATATAAATATGATAGCCTACAACTCCATTATGCTTAGGTACTAGGAGTAGTAGGAAGATTATTTTAAACTATAATTAATATTTTAAACTATAATTAAAATACTTCATTACGACGTTGTCGGGCTACTTAAGCCTACTAATTATCAAGTCTATTGAATTGAAAAAATAACACTGCTTACGCCTACAGTTACAGGCGTCATTTTGCTTATCGCAACTACAATTTAAAAGTAAAAGTAATAATTTCCATACCGTTATCACACTCTTGACTCTTATTCAACTTATTAAGTCTTACGACTTATGCCTGTGATGCGTACAGCTTTCTTCATTGCTGTCATCAGAATTATCTTTAAATATTTTTAATAGAGCATTGCTGTCAATTAAATATTAATAGAAATAATTCTTCTTTGCCACATAGTATGTAACTTTTGGTGCAATAAATCTATTGTTACATATATAATTACTAATATTATTATTATATTTGTGTATAGTCTTTGAGTATAGTTTTAAAATCAGTATTTCTTCTTTAAAATGTATACTTATATATCCTAGCCACTTATAATTGCAGACTTGTCTTTTACGTTGATGAGCAACAACAACCTTTTCAACTCTGTAATGAATTTACAATTACATTTAAAATTACATTGTGAGCATTTGTATGTGTACGCTATTGCCAAGGTTGCAATTGTCAGTGTTCGCAATTTTCCCTGTGCGCTATAGTCAGTGTACGCAATTTTCTGAGTGCGCAACTGTCAGTGTGCGCAGTTTTCCTGTGCACAGCTATGTCTTTTCAGAATTTTCTGTGCGCGATTATTGTGTGCGCTTATTTCACGGAACCCATTAGCCCATCCTACTTTGTTTGGGAATCCTCTTTTTCATTTTCAGTAGTGCCATGTTAACCCATGGCAGGGCCGCTAATCTTCAAGCTTCTTTGGACCCCTCACAAATGTGGCATTTTTTATTATGCAGCATCTCTGTTGCATGGATGAGCGCCTAGGCTGCAGCCTAGTCAACCTTATGGATAACCAGGCATATTCATGTGTTCAAATTTGAATAACCCCAAAAAGGGGTACTACTTGTCTAAGCATAATTCTTGATGGGTAGACCTCAATGTTTCCTTCCTCAAATTAGCTTAAGGCTTCGGGATGAACTTAGCAACTTAATTGTATCCCTTAAATATGCAGTAAAACCCGCAGCTTACCTGTGGTCACCCCCTTCCCTTGCGAAGTCTTAACTTATGAAACTTTTTGGGCCCCTATTCCCCCCCCCCCCCCACACCCCCACTTTACTTGAATTCTCAAAATCTCCTAACCCAAACAGTCCCTACCCCCTCCCACAGTTCTTTGGTAATGTTTGGATGACATCGAAAATCTTTGTTTGTTTCCTGTGTGAGACTGTTTTCAATCATTTAGCTTTGTATTGTTAGATTTAATAATTGATATTTTGTGGTTTGGTACTTTGATGGTTTTACACTGTATATGCATGGGTAATTATGTGTGTATCCACAGGCATCGGGTCAGATGTTATTATACAGTAGCTAGTGAATGAATAAAACATGGCTGCTGCCATAACTTCCTAAACTCAAGACTTTCTTATTATTATTACTAAACACTAGAAGATAGGCTTAACAACCACCGGCTTAATATATGATTGATCATATAACTTTCAAATATTATTAAAATATATGATAGTTCTATTTATTGTAATGCCTTTTCATTAATATTTTATTTCTCAGCAACCTCTCAAAGCTCCAGCATCAGTAGCTACTGTTGTGACAGGGGAAGGTGTCTTTCACAAGGTACTTTAATTTACATTCATTTAACTTTTACATCAATTTATTGGCATTGGAAATGTTACTTAAACTTCCTATTTCTAAGTTTTAAAGTTATTTGCATTGCATTTCAAAGAATTTAAATCATTAGAATTCTTCTTATATGATTTCTTTGCAGGACCAATATTATCAAATAGGTGATGTAGTCTCTCTTGTTGACCATGATGGAAGTGTTTATTATGCACAATTACGGGGCTTTTTGTCTGATCAATATAATGAAAAGAGTGCTGTAATTACATGGCTTTTACCAACAACTTATTCACCACCAAATAGATTTGATCCAAACACATATATCCTGGGTAAGTAAAATTTCTTGTCCAATTTATCCATATCAATTTTGTTTAATAAAACATCATAAATAATCTTTGAAAAAGTATCTTTAGTAAATCTTTTTATTATCTATATATTATATATACACTTTTAATATTTACCACTATTAACTGTGCTCATTTTTTCAAAAATGTAAATGGCTAACAGTTCACATAAAGTAAAAGTACTAGTTTGGCAATTTTATAAATTCATTTTTAATTTCATCAATATTTATGTGACAAATATTTTTGAATACTGGGTAATAGAATTTAGAGAAAAGATTTGTATCCTAAAACAAAGATACTCTTGTCAAGTAAACTTAATAAGTTTATAAATCCCAAATAAGATGGTTTAAAAATATTTATTTCATGATCTTTTTTATTTACTGTATTTCAATGTTTTATAATTAATATTTTCTTATTATTTTTCATCTTTTTAAAAACAAAAACATCTTCCTTTTCCCCCAAAATGATGTAATTTTTAGTTTTGAAAAAGTTGTTGTTTCGTCTGTATGACGGCGGATGCATGGCAATTCTTTCCAAGTACCAGTAAAATTCAGTTTATAAAAATATATTGAAATGCTTAAAACAAAAATTATTTTGTAATAGGTTTATTATAATTATTTATTTTTGACTCCAAAAAATCATTTCAGAGTTAAAAGTCTGATAAAGGTCTTAGTTTGTGAATACTATTTTCCTCTCCTTAAACTTATTTCATTCTTTTACTTCACCCAACAGGTCCAGAAGAAGATTTGCCAAGAAAAATGGAATATATGGAGTTTGTTTGCCATGCACCCTCTGATTATTTTCGTGCAAGAGATGCACCATACAAAACCGTCAACCCTGAGCCTAAACTTTGTTATATCTGGACTTCAATTGGTCCATGCATACAGACAGTTCCCTCTATAGATGAAATCTTTGGAATCAGTGACACTAATTTATTAGAAGGAAGCAGTGGGAGGGGAAAGTTAGAAAGAGACAGATTAAAAGATGTTCCAGGTTTTCGGGAGAAAGATAGGGCAGAAAAGCGTATAAAAGTGGAAGTAGATGATGACTGACGGTGTATATAATATATTTAATAACAGATCAACTTAATGCATGTTACTAGACATTTACGAGTCAAACATTTTGTTTTCTGTAATATTTTTAGACTCAACCCGTTGTGTTTGTAAATACTGCCATATATATAAATAAATATAAAATATTGTTTTTAACCTTACTTCACAAGATAAAATGAAAATCCAAAATTTTAAACACACTAGAGATATTTGTTTGTTTTTTTTCTTTAAGTGTTTTCAAGTATTCATCTTTGTTTTTCTGGGAATAAGTGGGCTTGCAAATAAACTTGTTAGTCCTCAAATCCATTCAAAAAACAAAAAAAAACTATTTGATTTATAATTATAATCAAACAAAGAAAAACTGTGATTTATGATAATCAATATTTATTATTTTACCTTCTCAAACAAAATATTAATACACTTCTTGTCAATTGGTCAGAATTATATGAACAAATATTATTATGGATAATAAGTAAGGAGCTGTCACTTGAAATTATCAGCACAGCTTACATCATCATAAACTGAAGTGGAAAAATTACTTTCCTATTTCAAGGCAAGGAATTTCAACAATTTTTTAAAGCAAATTTTAAAATTCCTTTTAAATCATAATTAAAATCTAAATCCGGTACAAAAACAATACCAGTCCTTACATTTGGATGAAAATGTCTTTTTTTTCAAGAAAAGATCTGTGACACATATATTTTTATTGCTGAAAAAAGGCATTCTTAAAATTATATAGATTAAATAATATTGGTAATTCATATATTTTTTTAATTTATGGAAAGTATATATTTACTGTTACAAGATATATCATTTAAGTTTCAAGTATATTTGTTGTCATACACAGATTGTGATACAGTATTAATAAAACATTACATAATTCTAAAATAATGTAAGCGCTGCACAAGGACAATAAAATGTAGTGAATTAACTTTCAATAGCTCACAGGTCATGGGTTGACACTGAGACTACATATAAAATGAAATAATTATTTTAACAATTGCAAGGTTTAAATCCAATTATAAATTTCAATCTTTTTTTAAATATTAGTTTTTTATACCGGTACTTGGTAAAAACACAGTTCAAGAAATTCTAAAGCAGTTAAATTTAAAAAAATACATGACATTGAAAACATGTATGTGTATACATTCACACTGAATAAACAAAATAAATATTGCAGAAAATTAAAACAAAGTTATCCATGCTTTTTCTGTTTGAAAACACACATCATGCAAAGTGTTTCATGGAATCTACTACTATTACTCTTGGTGTTATTTCTAAATAACTAGTAACTAAATCTAGTGAATAGGATGGTAATATGTTGACAGACGTAGGAGGAGGAAGGTACATTAAAAAAAAATTGCTAAACTGAGAAAAGAGTAGGTGGGTCCTGCAAGTTAAAGTTGACAATAAAAATGAACACAGTGCAGTGCAACTAACATGTTTAGTGAAATTATTTTCTATCCAACTAAATAACTGAACCAATTTACTTTAAGCTCTACATGTGACATCATTACAAAACACAATTTGTATCATGACCATGTGGACTGAAAATGCTACAGGAGATGGGCCCAATAGAATTAGGAAATGTGGTTGCAATCCATAAATGATGTCACACTATTTTGGCGTCAGTGTCAATCCATCCCCCTCAATCACAAATTTTGAAATAAAAAATAGAGACACTCTTGTCACAATTTTGTGATGTCATTTATGGATGACCGTGAGGATGGTACAAAAGAGTTAGAAATGAACTAGATTTATTAGAAAAATCAACACATTTTATCCATCAATATTCACATTACAAATGTAACAAATAGTAATTTTTTAAAACAAAAAACATTTCCAAAATAAGCCAATTTCTATGAAAAATATGTTAGTTCCGTCATCAAATGGATCAATACCATTTTAATTTAGGATTCGTGCTGTGACCGATTTTGCTATAAATTATGAAAGATGAATATGCTGACACAATCCAATTCACAATTAGAGCAGCCTTCACAGAGAGATAAAATAAGCTAATCAGAACTAGAAGAGAGACTGAATATATTGAGTTAAGTAGCTTTTTTTTGGATTCAAAACAGTGGAATATTTAATAGATGCAAACCATGAGTACTTTCAACAGATCAGAGAGCAAGATATAGTATGTACATTTTAACTTATGTACCAGTAGGTACAGTACTCATGAGATGACTTTACCACCATATTGAACACATTGTTTCAATAACCTAATGATTTTAAACAATTGGAAAATAACTATTTGTTCCTTCCTTCCCTATTTTAGAGAAGTTTAAATCTAATGATCCATTAAAGTGCACACATAATTTTTTTTACTACAGGTATTCATGGAACAAGAATTACTGAATGTTTCATTTTTATGCCTTTATGCCAGATTTCAGCGGATTGTATAAAGAGAGAGTTGATATATATTAATATATATTTAGATCAAAAGGTGGTGCAGAGGAAATAACTTATCAACAAATAAGTTTTTTCTATAGTATTATTCCTTATTTTAAAATGCGGTTTTTATAGTGTTTGATTTAAGTTGTTTTCTTTTTAATTTGTTTTTTTTTAATTAACAGGTTCCCCACACCCACCTCTAAATCTTCAAAACATGCGACTGTTTGAAAATATATTGCATCGCATCAAGTTAGAAATAAAATATATGCACCACATATTCAAAAATGAAAATAACAAAGGGATAACTTTTAACTATTTCCCCGATACCCTAAAATGTTTAGACCATCATTCAAAGAAATAATTAAAAACTTAATAGAAAGTTTCTCATTACAAAATGAAACAAATTTGTATAACTAAAACTACTAAAAGCTTAAATTTAGTTCAGGTCTTTTCATCAAAATGGCAGGAGCCTACCATTTTATTTTATTAAAATAATTTTGAACAAAGAAATCATATTGAATTTAATAATGGTATTAACATGTCTTGACAAAATATTTTAAGCTTTGAATTCATAACAAAAAATTTATTTTTTTTAGTTATGGTATGTCTTCAAAGTGCCTGGTGGAACATTCAAAAATGATAAACAACCAGAAAAATAAACACATCACTTTCCAGTTAAATTTTTTAAAATTAAAAGTTAAGCTGGCAGTGGACACAAATTGAAAATCCAATTTGTGTGAACATATCAAAGAGAAATCTAAAATGTAATTTCTTATGCTCTGCTGGACTAATCTGAAACAGAATTTACTTCATCACCTTTTCAATAATCAAAATCTTTAAATCATTTAACTTTAACAATGATTTCAACCACCCAACATTTTGTCTTTCTAAAGAGAAACAAAGGAAAATGGGGGGGGGGGGGGGAGAGTTAAAAACTATCAAAAATAAACCAACATAATTTATAACACAAATAAAAACCATGCTTCTAACTATAATGCCTCAACATGTCATACCACCTCAATCCATGAACACAGAAATAAGAGACAAGGAAATGATTCTTTTATTAGATTCTCTCCACAACTGGTAAGGGAGTGAAATCAAAATAACATCTGGGAAGTTGCCTTGTGTGACTCCTTCCGGTATGCTTTAGATGGATAAATAGAGTGCGCCGTGTTACATTGATGAGAAGAAAATAATAACGATTCACACTGTGTTCTTATCAACACCATTTGGTAGCAGTTCCAATTAGTACCAGCATAGCCCGGGTTTATATTTGCACGTTTCATCATCCTACACTACTGAACAGTAAATAACTCTTTCATGTTTTGTGTTGAGGATTCTTTCATGTTTTGTGTTGTAGTGGTGTTGTACATTGTTCATTTTCAGGCAGCTCTAACACAGATATTACCGGAAGAGGAAGCTTTATTGACTGATCAGATGGATTTGAAGACAGTAAATATGAAACTGGAAGTTCGAAGGTAGCGGGTGAAAAATCTTTCTGGATACTTTGCTCTTCAGAGACCTCTAAAGCTTCAGCCAGTTTCTTGTTCCGGTTGAAGAAGAAATACTTGAATGTCTCATAGGTGCTGATCATGATAGCACAGCTGGGGGCAACTTTCAATAGTCTAGGGAGCAGCCCTTATCAAGACAAATGAATTATTAATTATTAAGAGTAAATATGTAAAAATTTGGTTATTATTATTAGAAAAATAATCTATCCCCATAGTGTAATTTTGGCACATGTATTTCAAGCATTTTTAAATAAATATTTTAAGTCATATAAATGTACTTTATGAAATTATCACTTCAAACAAAATTATATTCTTTTAAATTATTAGTTTTAAGATTTTAATTTAAAAGAAAAATATAAATTTTCTATTATAACTATAACGTTTTACAAATTAATAATGGAAAAAAAATATCTTTACAGCTTATGACCAAATGAAATAATTGAAAACATGAACTGTAGCTGATTTGTCTAAAAAGAATATTGCTTTCATTCTGCGTGCCATCTTAATTTCTGCACATACATTTCAAAGTTTACAAAATTTTATCCCAATCTTACCTGTATATAAAGCCTTAAATCCCTCTGCTACATAGATCTTATGTATAATTCTCCAGGTAGAGGTTGGCCCTTTATTTTTACCTGAAACAGGTAATATTACTTTATATTAATATTATTAATATTATTTAATATTAACCCTTACAGTACCAGGTGCGTCTTTTTGCAGTGAACTACTTTTTTCCATGTGGCCCAAGTCCCTCTTTTTTCACTTGCCGTTATGTCCCCTCTTGCCCAAGCGCGTCTATTTGCCACATAGAGGGGTATCTAATATAAACACAAAAACGAGGATATAGCCTTTCACCATATTCTTGGACAGAATGTTTATTCGTTAGGGGAATAGCCGAATTTTATTTTGCCTTTTAAAATATGAAAATCAACCAATTACTGAGTTTTTTTAGCAGATCTGTATTTGTTTTTTCCATGGCGCCAGCTAGCGCTATTGTTGATGGCGACATACGCCCACTTGATGAAACCTTTTGTTCTGAAACTATTATTGAGCTTTAATTAGGATTAGATGATTCTGATGCTGACGAAGGGAATGAAACTGTTGAAGGAAATAGGACTACTATTACTATAGCTCAAAATTTACGCCTAAGGAAGCTTGTAGGCAGGTTTTAGACTAGTGTCAACGTACATATTGATTCAGTAAGCCACACAATCCCCTAGTGTGCAATTGCTAATGAAAAGTTTGAACAAAACTGAAAAGGATTTTTAACACCCTTATCCATTTCTGAACAGATAATTCTCTACATGTTATTTATGATCAATTGTTTAAAACAAAAAAGTTACAAAATAATTTGCAAACCTATCAAATTTGGCTCATTCCAAAAAAATGTCTGGGGCCACTGGGAATAATTAGCAAAATAATATCTGGTACTGAGGCTAAACATAGCAAAAAAAGTAGGTCAGTGCCAGAAGGGTTAAATAAAATAAGTTTAAATTTTCATACATTTTTCTTTCCATTGATGTTTACTTTGCTAACAATTGACTGAAATTCTAAGTTTCAAAGAATGTATTTCATAAAAAATCAAAATCTACTTTATAAAATATGACTGTCTTTTCCATTAAAAAAAAGAGACTGCCAGTCTCTAAATGATAATAATTGGCAACAGTTTTTATAAAGTTGTCAGCATATATAAACAAACTCAACATTTTTTCAGAACTCGTTTAATGTTGCCATTATCTTAATTTATAGCTATTGGCCTCCTTCCCCACTTTTTAACATTTATTTCATGTTTACAAACATTGGATGAATCAAAGCTTTTAAGAAATGAAGTACTATTATTCTGAAATATTATACCCGCTGTCGTGCCTTTGTTTTTAACCCACGAACTGTGGCATGCATCATTCTGTGGTGTGGAATTTTTTAGAGCGCTTTGAGTGCCATTTGAAATTGCATTAAATGACATAGAAATATTGATACAAGACCCTTATAAGTTTATATTTTTTAGAAAGGTAAATGGCTGGGGATAAAAAGTTGGCCATATTGCCCACCCGGTAAAAAATTTTGCTCAGTGTCCTTGACCTTGGAGTTCTCAAGAAATAAAATTCGACAAAATGTCTTGCTTTCAAGGGCTCATAACATCATTAATTTTTATAGATACACTTAAAACAGGAATCTAAATGTTATATAGAAATTCATTTATCTTACAGAAAATGTATAGTCTGCTAAGGTTTTGATTGTAATTAAACCTCTGAAAGCAATTTTAATAATTTTAGGTCATTTATATAAGAAACTGGGACCACTGCTGAAACCAAGTACAAAATACAAAATCTCAGGCAAAATAGTTATTATTGACTAGGAAACATTTAAAAAGGAACTGTGGAACTGATTTGGGCTGTTTAACTATAAAATGTATTAGTTCTGAACTATAATCGGTAGCTTCTGTGACTAAAATTCAGTCAGGCCTTGCCCAACCTCCGGACCTGGTTCGAAGTCAAACAGTAGCCTCAGTAGGCCTACTTCAGTATCACTGAGACTAGTATAAAATTCACAAGAAGAATAATCTCAACTAATATCATCATGGGGAACGTTAAAATCATCATCAGTATCACTTAAAACCTCTCCTAAAAAGCTTTCAAACATATTTCTATTAGTTCTTGCACTATATAAAACTCTGATTGAAAAGTATTTATTTTCAAGTTATCACGAAACAGTTTGAACAAGAAGATGATTTAATTATTAATAAAAGGAAGTGGCTAAAATTCTTGTTAAATATTGGATTGGAAATTACTATCGGACCGTGTTTTTTATGGGCAGATTTTTTCAGCCACCACAGTACAGAACAAGAATGTCCTGATTTTTTCGGCCGACCACAGTTCGTGTGTTAAAATAAGCTTTTGGCTGGAGATGGCGCAGTTGGATACTTTTTAAAATGTGGTCAATTACAAGCACTAACCTGCAAACTCTGTCTCCCCAAGTTCAATCTGCCGCCTTGTTTTGATTACATCAAATGGTAGAGTCACAACAGCAGCAATCTGGATAAGAAAAATAAAATACAAAAACAAATATAATAACACCTCTGTCAAAATTACTGTCTCATCAGTCTCATAACAAAGCCAGTAAACAAAAAATTAATAAAAATTTATTTTATAAATATTGTCATTCATGTTAAAGGATTGCCAGAAGTCAGGCAAAAAAAAAAAAAAAGTCCTACCTCTCAGAATAATCATTAAATAGAGGAGAGAAAAAAATTACAGAGCCTGAAGTATAAAAAAAATAAAAAAAAAAAACAAATATAATCACACCTCTGTCAAAATTACTGTCTCATCAGTCTCAAAACAAAGCCAGTAAAAAAAAAATTAATAAAAATTTATTTTATAAATATTATCATTCATGTTAAAGGATTGCCAGAAGTCAGGCAAAAAAAAAAAAAAGTCCTATCTCTCAGAATAATCATTAAATAGAGGAGAGAAAAAAATTACAGAGCCTGAAGTAGCACCAGCTGTAAATGTCTCCAAAAAGGTCAAAGATGGCCGATTGCATGAGTCCAGAATCTGTGCCTTCATTGCCTCATAACTGGTCCAATATATAGCTGTATAAAATAAAAATTAAATTTTAAAATTTATTATTGTGTAATGAGCTCTGTTTTATCTTAATTTTCACATTCAAGTCACATTGTTTTATTTTTAAATGGCAAACATCTATGCATGTCAACCTGTGGGATAAAAAAAAAAATGTACAAAACCTCCCCACAAACTGTACAAGGCTATAAAAAAATTTAAATATACAAAATGAAAAGTTTTTAAAAAATTATAATTAATAACTTTTTCATTACTTTGATCAATTTTGAATGTATGCAAATTTAAGCATGTTTTACAACATTCATAAATGGATATGGCATCTTTTAAATAAAAATAACTTGTGTTCGGGGTTTCTTTTTACACTGGTCACTAGAAATGTTATTATTATTTGATAGCAACTTAGATGTAATCAGACAATTATTCTTTTAATTGGGCTAGCTGTAGTGATACAGATTCCTGCATTTAAATTAACGAAGTAAAATAAAGTTCATCCATCTTGACACAGTTGTTGAGTTTACCTTTAGTTTATAACCTTATTTGTCACCATACCAAAGGGCTTAAGCCATGACATTACAATAAATAGGAATAATGACTAACTAAAAACTAAATATATTTAATTATTTAAAATAAATTAAAATAATACTTACTAACATTGCAGATCTTATTAGGAATTACAAAAACAGATTGTAGTTACTACCACACTACACTCTCTTAGTATTAAGAAACTGTCTTTTAGTATTACTGAATGATATCAATGAAACTACACTGTTTCTAAATTTTGATGGCCTACTGATCCTCAACCTGGTCATTAAGAATGGAGAAATAGAGTTAAGCTTCTTTTTTTCCAACTTTCAATTTATTGCACCACCAGATTTGATTGAACATATGTCTTGTGCAAAAATATGTATTTTGCAAATTGAGTGAAAATTTTTTACAAAAGCCTTAGAGCTCCACGAAAGCATAAAAACTGTACAAAGTACGCGTAAACCGTACATGTTGGCATATAACCAAATACCTCACTTACATTACAAAATAAAACAAAACTTTAAAGTTGAAATTAGCCAATCCTTTATAACATCTGCCAGCAGTTGATTTTTCAAAATATAAATAAATGATATGTTTTATCAATGGATAAATAAAAAATGATGCTTAAAACTGACATTTTCAAATAAACTGAAATTACTACAAAGTCACCTACCCGAAAACGGAACATCTCTCAGTAACGTTGGACCCAAACCTCTCCACATTGAGAGAACGCCATTGTTTCTTACTGTGTCGACTACTGCCTTCCAAACTTGAGTGTAGGTGAAATGTTTGGACTGTATTTTGGTGCGTATCATTTCCACTGGACTAATCAGTGATGCTGCCCAAACTGAAATTGATACAACAGACAAAAATTGTCAAATATTTTATAAACTATGGTTCTCTGCAATAGCATTTTGTTTTCAATGACAATTTATTTGGAAGGAAGAACAGTAGCTGGGAATAATATTTGAATTTCTGGGTAAACATAGACATTTAGATGGAGTAAAAAATTAGCTTCATAGTTAGTGAGATTTTCATATTTTAAAAGAACATTAATGGCTTCAATAAATCAATCAATGATTACTGTTGTAGATGCAATTAAATCTTCAAGTTTTTTAAACTTCAATGGACCCTTTATCATGGAGTACTTTACAACCTACCTCTTGCCATAGCCCCAGCAACCATTGGTTTCCATCTATCGCTGTTAATGCCCTCATGGTAGTTTAATACAGCCTTCAACTGCTCATAGCTAGTGAAGTAAACAACTGTGGCTGGTATAGCCATAACTCTGAAAACATGTGAAAAATATGAACACTGCTTAATGTTTTTTTTTTATTTATATGGTAATTCTGTCGAAGTTATGAATTGATCTTAAGTAAGTACATACAGAGTGCTGATATAACAGCTAAGATCATTTCATATTTCCATTAGGCTTTTAAAAATACAATTTCAACTGCCCTAGAAACAAAATTAGGAGTTATGGAGGCTTGTCTAACACTTTTGTTATGTTAGGGTCATCTATAAATGATTTACCGTTTTGCCTGAATTATTTTTTTTTACAAACCATCAAAGAAAACAAGACATTATCTTCACACATCCTCACAAATATGTGACACTACGACACCCCCCCCCTCCTCCAGCCATATAGATAGATGCATGACCTCATTTATGGTTGAATCTTTTAACATTTTGAAGTAATAATGTTTTTATTTCATACTAAAGAGAGTAATTAAAGAACTTGGAAACTTGGATAATAATAAAGACTCTCTTTTCTTGAGCAATATTACAATTTTTATTCAATTCCTTTTTCAAGTAATATTAGATTCATATATATGAAGATTTTTAGCATTTTCTTTCGCCACTATTATTTTTGTATTATGGAAATTTAACTCTGACAAAAAAATTAGTAGCCCAAAAATTATTATTAGAAAATGGATATTGCCTTTCTTCAAAAAAGATGCTTGTCCTAAAATCAATTGTTTTTAATAGTTTAAAGAGACGGAGCTTACAAGGTAGGGGGAAGGCCGCTCCAAAGGGAAGTAACTCCTTCATTTCTGGCTATCTTAATCATGGCATCCTGAACCAATGAATGGAAGAATTGGATAGAACATTTGAGGACAATATTTGTCAGAATATCATAAACAAAGAGAAAGTAACAATATCTCAATAACTCCATAGTTCGTCCTTCAAACGCAAAGTTGACCAAGGCTTCACCTTGAGCTTATTTTGTTGTGAATTTCATTGTCATAATGCTGAAGGGAATCCATCTCCTGGGTTTGATTTCAGAGTTTGCCTTCTCTTAGAATCGTCATCCACAGGGGGTTGGGGGGAGGGGGTGTGTGTGTGTGTGTGCTGGTGAATTTTTTGCTTGACTAAGCATTTTCTGGGAATTGAGAGCTCAAGTCCAGTAAGTTTGGAATTGATTCAGTTTAGACCGCTCAGCGACCCAGTCATTAAGTAAAAGTAATAACACAAACTGAAATTTTTTTTTTATCAAGTATAACATTCTGTTGATAAAGGCATGTAATGTATATTTTTTTTTATTCTGGATTAATTTCTGTAGTCCTAACCTAAATGTTTTGAATACAACTTTTTAATATAAGTTTTTTTGTTTTTTTTAAATCAAACAGCCTGTATTTTATCCCACACCAGTTACCTGCTGTCTTCCAATTATTATAGCTGATGTATTTTAATCAGGGTTTACTTGGCAAATGTCTATCCCACTCAGGTATTTACCCAATGTGAGGACAACAATGGACAACATTGACCCTGCTATTACTAGCTCGAGAAGTTGAAAAATATACATAATAAACACTAATGTCCCTTTCCTGAAATGGGACATGGTGAATATTTTTATTGGAACTTCAAAACTTTTACTTCTCTAATCTCAAGGTAAAAATGACATTAAATATCAGAGCTAAATGTATCACCTTGACAAGAGGTAAAATAAGATAAACTTACAAAGGTCCCATTAAAATGGCTTGGCCTCTTGTACCATTCAGACGAAGGAGTCAAACCATTCACACAAGGACACAAGTGATCCATCAAACCATTGCAGTAAACAAAGCAGTGACCTTTGGTGAAATTAGAAGGTTTGGCTTGAGACTGCAGGCGGATTTTCACAACATCAAATGGAGTCACTAAATAAATATCAAAATAGAATGGTTTTTAATGTGTTCATTCCATAAAATCTATTATAATACAAAAAGGTGAAAACATCACTAACATAGTTTTCGCTCAAGATTTTTCTCTCCATGTCAAATCAGCATCTAAAAAAAATAACCAAAGACAACTTAAATGATCCAAAGTGACAAACCTGGCTTGCAACAACAGAATTTTCAACAAAACCAATTTAACTCCTAAACTGATCTGCTAATGTCACAAGAAAGACTAACAATGTAATATCAAGCCTTTTAAGTAGACATGGGTAACTAAATGAAGAATCCATTTTGTGGCCAGCACAGATGTGCAAAAGTATATCCTTTGTGTGGCTCCTGAAAGTCTACTTAGTTGCCCCTACTCATATAGAATATAATCACATATTAATTTCTATTGCTATAATACCTATAACTTTTTTTTCCCACATCTTTCTTTAACCTCAGTGAAATTACTTACTTAAAAGGGAAGTAAGTAATGCACCAGTGCATGATGACAACATTTGTTGGGTTGGAGTTATTGAAAGGCCTGAATATTGGAGACAATGTGCACCATCACCATCTTTAGACATGATGAGTTGTTGTCGCTTTCTTTGGTATCTCAGGTCATCATTGCTAAAAATGTAAAATTTTGTTACAAAAAGAATGTGGAAAAGAAAAAATAATAATTGATAATTTACTAGCTGAATTACTTGGATTTTTAAATTTGTTTTACTATCCATTAGAGCACTAAAATAGTTTTTTGAATGGTTATACTTAACATTTCAACAAATTATTTAAATATCTCAAAGGTACAGATGTTAGGTGATTTTTTTATTCTTCTTCAATTATGAAATCCAACTTGTACAGTTTAAAGTCATGGGACTTTAAATTTATTCAATTGTTAAATAGTATGAAAACTATTTAATTTTTAATGAAAAGTCTGTAACATTTTTTAAGTTAGTGGCCATCCTATGCTGAGCATAGAAGTGGATTTTATATGAGTGAAAATCTAAGACAGTTAGTGATAGAGCCAAGGGGACTTTTATCATTCTTAAGTAACATAATTATAATTATATAATAATATAATTATGGTCAAATGTTGAGATAATACCTATTAAATAAAAACCAAATATTTGTAAATGATTCATCAATGCAAAAATTTAAACTTTGGCAAATTATTCAAAATCTAATTTCCAATAATAAGAACCATAATTTAGCACCAGCTAATCCGCAAAATGTATGTAAAGTGGTAAATTATGATTCTCTCATATTTATTTTTATTTTTTAAGGTAGATTGAGCTGTTTCATTGAATGTTTCAAGATAAATAAAATAGGTGAGAAATTTGTATAGAAATAAAGAAGATCATACACGTTTTATTAAGTGAAAATGCATTCAAATATAAAAAGATGTATTAAGTTTAGTGTTACAAAGGAATGGTAAATATGTTTTGTTACCCCCTACTAGAAAGCGGGCAACTTGTAAGCGATAGCCAATGCAAAGCAGAAATTCTCCTAACGCATTTTCAATCTGTCTTCACCAAAATTTCCACCACAATCATACCATCCCTAATACCTTCACCTGATACAATAGGCCCCCTCAACATAACTGAACCAGAAGTAGCCAAACTTATCAAAAACCTGAAGCCCAATTAAACGCCCGGACCTGACTGTATCCCGAACATTGCCCTGAAGACCCTGGCTGACAACATTGCCCCAACCATCAACCGCATTTTCAAAAAGTTGCTTGACTCTGGCAAACTCCCGCCAGACTGGCTTGATGCAAATATCACCAGTGCCTACAAGAAAGGTGACCGTCATAACCTACCAAACTACCGCCCAATATCCCTGACCTCCGTCCCATGTAAAATTCTAGAACACATCATCTGTTGCCACATTATGAACTACCTTGAACACTACAACATTTTGACCAACCTAAACCACGGTTTCCGCTCTGGATTCTCAACAGAAACTCAATTAATCATCACCACCAATGACCTCCTTGCCTCCTATGACAAAGGTAACCAGGTCGACATGGCAATTCTCAACTACTCTAAGACATTCGACACTGTTACACACAGCCTTCTTCTACAGAAGCTCCATCACTACAGCATTACCGGCAACCTCTACTCCTGGCTCTCAACATTCCTAACACAACGACCTCCTTGATACTGTAAAATCCCAAGTGAGGCTGTTTGCAGATGACTGTGTTGTCTACAGAGAGATAAACGGCTACGATGTCCACAACTACTTCTAAGCAGATTTGAAGTGCGTTATGAATTGGGCGGACTAATGGGGCATGAAATTTAACTAAACCAAATGCTACACAATGAGCATCTCAAGAAAAAAAAACCATCAACCTATATGTACTCCCTCAACAAGACAATTTGTCACTGGCCTTTTAAAAAGATTTGACATCCCCACCCTCAAAGACATCAATCTAGAGCTTCAAGGCTGCCCTGGAATTCGCTAGGAGCTGTTAGGACAGCAGCATCGCTTCCCCAACCGTTGCACATATGCCAGTAAATGGATTCAGCAACATACCCTACCAGAACTAAAATATTCTTTAAGTTTGTAATCCCTATTTCAATCTATTGGTGAATCTTTCCAACAAAGATTCATCAATAGTCACATGATTCCAAAAAACTATTTCACCATCTACAAAAGAAAAATTGCGCCAAACAGGTCAAAATAATTACAAGTGAATTTTAAATCTTAAGTAGATGAAAGTTTAAGAATGTAGTTACCATGTAGCAAAATTAATCAGGTCTTAAAAAAGTAAAGCTATAGATGAAATATTTATGAAACTAGCAAGTGTGAAGATCATTCAAAAAATGCTTAGGCCCAACAATTTTAAAGCAAATCATGTTTAGAGAGACATTTCAAGTGACTCTTAGGAAATTAGAAACATTTCTGCCTTTCGTAACAAATTAAAATAAGTAAGAAATCTTTAAATCTAACTAATAAAGCACATTGCATTTTCAAGAGTATTGTATTTGTATGCCATGCCCATATGACAAATGTTGATGAGGAATCCATCAGAGAACATATTGATTAGACAGAATAGACATATTTAAATTTAAAACTACCACATCAGAATACTAGTGAAATATTTTTTATTTTACTATAATATATATCTATGACATGATGTCTTTATCTGAGCAATTATTGTCAGGGTTCATTTATTGTCTTTATATATATTGTAATTATTAGGATACTAGGGTTTAACCGGATGCAGTTTTTATACAATGATCCGGGTATTTTGAGAAAATACCAGGTGAGGGTAAGTTTTACAAAAAATGACTTACCTTCTAATTTTCTACAATAATAGACCTTTAAACAATTGACTAATACTAATAGAAAAACAGACAGCCCTACCTGCCAGTGCCAGCCTTTAAATTTAAACAATAGGCCTACAGACAATCCTACACCTTACCTGCCTTCCTTTAAACCAGGCCTGCAAACATACGGCCTGCGGGCCACATGGGCCCCGCCAGCACCCACAAAGTAACAAAATATTCTTTTTTATTATTATTTTCTTGATAGTGTTCACCCTGTCCTATTTTCTTTTGGCCTGCACAATTTTTCATAGAGTATTATAACCCACCTTACATTTTGAGTTGTGCAGGTCTACTTTAAATTTAAACAATATTCTTACACCATACCCGAGGCTCTTAATTCAAATTGATTTAATATAATAATATTAGTCACCTCCCTTTAAGAAATGTCTTTTTTTACTACAGTTCTCACATCAAGCATGACAGCCTTTTTTTCACTCAGTATCAATATTATTAATACAAAATGTGTAGTTGGGGGTGGGGCGGCGGATTGGAAACGGAAGCAGGACACACCAGACCAGAAGAGATAATGAAGATTAAGATACAATGATGGGTAGCATTGAAAGTGAATGATTAACAAATTAACCGTAAGCTTAAACTTTTAAAAGTCTAAACTAATACCCTATAGTAAATGTTCCCTTTAAGCTGCGCGGCTGCGCAGCAATCTCACAGACGCCGCGCAGCAGTTTTGGGTACCTAGCAGCTAATTTCCACTTGAGTGTGTGTTTGAGTTTGTGTCTGTAGGCTGAAAATTTTGCGCGCAAAAAAATTGATGATTTTGCACAGGAACCAACAAACCTTAGAGGGAACATTGCCTATGCCTATAGCCTATAGTTATACTTAGTCTAGTCTAGTATCAGTATAATAGGCCTACGCCTAGTATATTATAATATAATAAATAAATAATAATAATAGTAATTAGTAATAGTAATCGCCTTGCATGGTAGTGTCAGAGAGTCACTAAGTCCTGAGTCAGTAAAGTAGTCTAGAAAATAGTATACACAAAACTAGTGTGACTACTCTGACTACGTTGATGGTGATATTGACACACTAATAAAAAAAAATTTAAAAAAACCGTGACACGGCGAAAATTAATACTAGTTAACAAGTTATAATAATTATTAGATTGGCCATGCCATGTCGCCCATGATTATTTAATCAGCAGAATTTTTTAAGACTAATTGACAATTTCGGAAATGTATACCATATTTCTCAATGAATTATAGTCTATGCGTGATCCAAGCTAAGTGCTGGAATAAGTACTTCGAAAGTGCCATGGCGTTAAGTAACTATGTTAGGCAACCTGTGTAACTGTAAAAATAAAGTAAACACGCACACATGTAGGACAGAAGACAGGTCACGAACCTTGGAGGCCTTGACATTATAAAATACGAAAATAAAGCCTAAATTTTTGTCACGTATATAGGATTTTATTATTTAAAAATTAAATTATTTTATTTAGTTATAATATCACATGACTATTAATCTAATTGGTTTAGGTTATCATACTAATCAATATTAGACAAACCAAATTATATATGTCAGTGAATTTTTATATGATGTCTGCTAGCTTTACTTGGCGACATTGATGTTGACGTCTCTGAAATTTGCTGCACAGTTAGTGAGAGTGAAATTCTCACAGGCGTAATTAATTACTAGCATACTGTGATTCATTTTCATACTTTGCAAAATGGTTTGCGGTGGATTTGGTTGTTCGCGCCATTCTTTAATTATATTAAATGTGATTTATATCGTAAGTTACAATACATTAACTTAAATATTAATTTTGATTAATTAATTTAGTCTTTGCCTTTAGTAGTCTTTAGTAATTATGAGTATCTCAGTAGGCTATCAGTAGGCTACGTCAACGTGAAAAGTAGTAAGAGTAGGCAGGTAATCCCTTACTTACTTTGGTGGTTAGCGCGATTAATTATTTCTAGTGAAATAGCACTGAAACAGCCACTTTTTAAAAAAAATAAACCAATGGCATAGTTGAATAGAGCTAATTTTTAATAATAGTATTAGCTGTTGTAGTTTTTAACTAAGTTTTATAAAGTAGGAGTAGGACTTAATTTGTCCTTTTGTAACATGGACCGCATCTCCATTTTTGGGGACCCCATTCCGCTGTTCGCGTCACGAGCTATATATAACTCTTGTTTTAATGATAATTTTATTTTCAGAACGAATGCTGTATTAAAAAAATTAGTTTAATAATGTTAACAATTATAGATAAATTGTAGCTTATCTAACTATGCACTATTTATATCAGTAAATTTAATTTTGTTTACCAAATCTACCATTATACCGATATTTGCTATATAGTCTATCTATATAAGGCAACTCATGCCCTAATTACGAAAATACTGTTTGGGAACTATTGAACTTTCAATTTGGTACAAGACTAATTAATTAAAGCTTTCCCTGACCTAGTTTAATAGTTTTTACACACGGCAAAATTTTATGAATGAAAACTCTGAGACAGTAGTAAACAATGGCCATTATGCAAGTCACTGTCAATGGCCCCCATGACATTTTGATCACTGCGAATTTTGATCATTTATAATATGGACTCTGTCAGGTTTTTTAACCTCAAATTAAAATACTATTCTTTCATTAACATTTAAATTCATTCTAAAACATAAGTTATCAAATATTTTGATGTAAATAGTGGAAATAATTAAATATTTCCTAAGTAACGGCGTCTTCCGCCACTGAAAGGGGGGCGTGGCCACTTCCTTATCAAAATTGGGCTGAGCTACATTACCATATAGGGGTTTACTCAAGTGAGCATAACAAGTGACCGACATGTCCTAACTCATTGAGAATTGACACAACTACACATCGATAGATAATACAGAAACATTTTTTTTTTATAGACATAAAAGTTGAACTTCTATAAGAATTTTATAGTGAAAGATGCCTTATATTTAAAGGGGAATCTCAAAATACAGGTCGATTGAAAAATTAAAACAAATCAATGTAAATGTAGGCCAAGACGGACCTCAAATATGTATCGAAACTACTCATTTAATAATAAATAGACACACACATCAGAAAATTAAAAACTCTGATTTTTCGGCACCGATTGCCATTTCTGATACACAAAAAGTAGTACCCTCCCTTGGTTTACCGAAGTATCTAATTTTTGGCTGTCTTTTTCAAATAGGACAACCATTTAACGAACAAATTGTGATATTATCAATAAAGTAAATTTTATGAATCTGAATCAAGAACTCTTCTGTAAGCTTCAAGGGGCCATCCATATATGTTGTTCCGAATACACTGAGGGCAGGGATGCAATGCCGAGTATCAGTAACAACCATGTGCTTAAGATTGTCAATTAATATACAATGTTGGAAATCCATTGGAAAAAAGAAGAAACACTGAAGGTATATCATTATCATTTAAAAAATGTATTTGAGTCTGTTTAGGGGTGGGAAGGACTGTGGTTACACCATCAGTTAATACATATACTTCATCATATGACACCACTGTAAGCTTACGCCTCAGAATCTGACTTAATTGTCTATTTTTTTTACCATATGTTACGCACTGGCTTCTCTTTTGAGAAATTAATCTCCTATTTTAAATTTATGGCTCGTTCAAACAGTGCCTAACAAAGGACGATACCATAGATAAATACAATAACAAAATTACGACACCCAAAACAGTACCAATTACATTTAATAAGATTTAATTTAGTAATAATGCAATTACAAAAACAAAATAAATATCATTACAAATCATCAACTTACAGTATGGTAGATCTTGTACCAGTACACAGTTAGTACAATGTGCCTATTAATAATGTACAGTGACGAAAGCAAATAAATACATAAGTACACAAAGAATGATACACATCTCGTGAAGTTAAAATATATCTATCTGAATCTCTCCCTCTCTCCATGCCTGTGAATCCTTAATATAAATGTGGGTCTAAATGTGGTGCGTTTAGAAACACCCTTACTTTTCTAATACAATCGAGAACAGTCCATAAACTACTAGTAGACATACTAACCATGTTTAATTGGTAGAGCCAGAGCGGTAGTTAACACTATACTTCAAAGACTCGGCCATGCCCAAAACAAATGTACCGTCTGCTAGGGATCTAATTTGGGTCAAGCATGGGAAAATAGTGTACTACATAACACCATACTTTAATATATTTTACTATACTTTAACCATATGACATTATGATTGCTTTTGGTCTGATACTGAAAAGGGAAAAAATCTGGCCACATATCAACTGAATAAACGATAAACAAACTTATCGATCGACTGATTTAAAAAAATACATGTTTTATATTAAAATCCCTTTAAAATCAATGCAAATGCTGGACAAACTAATTGGAAAACAACAAATACTTGTTATAGTAATCATTGAAGTGTTTTAATGTTGTTCCATCAGGTAAATTTGAAGTCTTTAATTTATTTCACTAGAAATAATTTATTGTGCTAAAATAAGGGATGGCTGCAACAGCAATATTTCATTATACTTTATGTTGAATTAGCCATTTTAACAGCAACATTGATGCTAATGTTCTTTGAAATGTTAGCAGTTGAAATGGTTTCATTAGTTTCTCAGTAATAACTTATTTAGGCAGTGACAATAGAAAAACACTGATAACTGCAATCCAACTGGTCAGGAACTATATTTAAGCTAAATGATCATTGTGCAAAGAAGTATACACAAATTTGGGCAATCCTCAGAAAGTCAGTCCGAAATTCAAAACATTAGTAAAACGTATTGAATAGTATACTTTTCATTAGAAGGTTTAGGACACCATTGTAAACTACATGGCTTGATGTTAACTGATTTTACTAATATTGAGTATGGTTTAAAGTAGGTGGTTGGCTCCTGTAATAACAATATATAAAGACACTTTCAAGTCTTAGCTTGGTATTAAATAATTAAACTAAAAACCAATAAACTTAGGATATTATCTACACCATCTAAGCAGTATAGCTTTTTTTTCTCTATCAATATGAAAGAAATATTTCTAGTTTGAGGAATTTTTTTTTAACGTAACATAGATTCAGTGAGCTCGGAACTGAAAGGATTAAAAAAAATATCGGTAGAACTCGCTAAGCAGCTCTTCACCCTCAACGATCGTAATACGTCATTTTGGTATCACTACTAATACTACCACCCCTTTTATTAACGGAAACAAATCAGGCGATGGTTCAATTTTTTTCCCAGTAATATTGGGGGGTATAAAAACATTCTTAACGTTTTCATTTGGTAAGGGTAAGTGTTAGAAATAAAAACATTCTTAACGTTTTCATTTGGTAAGGTTAAGTGTTAGAAATAATGCCCGGTGGAAATAATTACGTCACCAGCACGGAAAGACGAATTACTGGACTGCAGTGTATTATCACTATGTCATGTTCAATTTTACAACTACAGGGATCTCTTTATGAAAACAAAGTAGCTAATACGAGTATATGAGTAGGCCTATATGCTTACTGCGATATATTGTGGTAATATTTGTATAGCCTTAATGATAATAAAAGGCCTAATTAGAATTCACTGATTTCACAGATTTTCAGATGACAGTTGGCTTTATAAGAGACTGTCAGGATAATTATTGTATGCATAAATGTAGGTGCAGTCCCCCCCGTCCCCCCCCCAATAAACAAATTAAATCTGTCATAGGCATTCTCAGCGCGTACATAATACGTAATAGTTAGATGGCCCTTTGTTTGACGTAATAGTTAGATGGCCCTTTGACGTAATAGTTAGATGGCCCTTTGTTTGACGTAATAGTTAGATGGTCCTTTGTTTGACGTAGTAGTTAGATGGCCCTTTGTTTGACGTAATAGTTAGATGGCCCTTAGTTTGATGTAATAATTAGATGGCCCTTTGTTTGACGTTGACAAGGTGCGGCTGGGGGGGGGTGTTAAATATTTTAAAAAACTTTTTAATGTTTATTTTATTTTGCGTACCGGGTATGTTATACATGGATGTCCCATTGTCCAAACAGTTTTGGGTTCAAATTTAACTACATTGACGGATGTGCACATTGCCTGATTTTAATGTTACCATTAATGGAATCAGCGATCCTTTTTAATTTTTGTACCCTAATTTGGTTTACTTAGTATTTTACGATATGGCCTCGACAAAAAGAAAGGCAGGCGAAACGGATGACGAAGAAGAAACTTCAACCGATAAACATCAGCTTCAACAAAAGATAAAGAAAGTTTATATTCTTGCTTGAATATTAGACACAATTTACTGTGTTGCGTTCTTCATAGAAGGGTCCATCATGCGCGCACTGCAAAATCTGCAGTTGGACTTTTCTGTAGCAATCAGAGACAAAAAGAGTGGTGTGGATTTAGGAGATAGTGTGTATGGCGCGGGTCTAAATATTTAAATCAACACCGCAACCCACATTTTCGTAATTTCAGGTTGGGGGGGGGGGTCGTTTCTTCACAGAAAATACATGCGGTATTTAAAAATACTACACTATTCATCCCGAAACTCTGAAAGTCCTAAAATAGCACAGTTATATCTCGAATGCTGTAAAATACCAGCCAATGTTTAGCAGGAATTATCGTCGTGATGTTGTCAAGATGTATTTTCACAAATGAACTCGCTAGCTAGACCTAAACTCAATAGTGGAGAAATTGCAGTAATGGTTAGTGCACCGAATGGTCAGCGCGCGTGTGACGTATATTTCGGTGGGCTACGCCAGTGATTCTAAAATTTTCGTTTCCCTGCGCCTAAGCCATTCTAGGTTTTCATCAGGCTCCCTGTGTTGAATTCTAACACGTACAATTCGAAATAGCGAATACACAAATAAAATAAAGGTTGGATAAAAATAAATATAATGTGTATGTAGGTCACTGAGCGCCATCAGTAACTGCAAACAACGGTTGCTTAGTGGGTTACAGTTTGCACCACGACCGAAAGTTGTCCCATTGGTTTAAAAGTGAAAATAAAATAATGAATTTTTAAAAATATTTCGCAACGAATTTTTAAAAATATTTTGCAACGCCCGATGAGGAAGCCGCAGCCACCCCCTTGCCCGAGGGCAACGAGCACCCAGGGCGATGTGGCGTTTATTCTGGGAACCACTGGGCTGGCCGAATCACCCGTGGTGAAAACCCGTGTCACATTTTGTTTACTGTAACATCATAATATACAATGAATTTTGATTTTGTTAATTTTATGAGGTGGAGGGGGACTGGGCTGGTGTTCTAAAGCTCACTGTACCGTACACACACAAGGGGGGGGGGGGGGGGGGGGTCCCAATTTGTTACCGGGTAATTAATTCTTATTCTAATACATTTTAATTTTATGCTCATCTGACGTCAGGTTTGAACAACGTTAAATTTAACCAGTGACTTTATTTTTACCTGTGACAGACTGGGATAATGTGATCAGCAGGTTAACCCAAATATTAATTGCGGGGCCCTATGCAAAACGGATTGCGCGGGCCAAGTCTGGGTAGGGATAAGGATAAGTTAAAATTAAGATTTTGTATTAGAAAATAAATTTGTCTTTGCATTTTATTCATTCTTTACTAAGTACAAAATCACGATCAAATTAATTTTACTTTACGAGCCTTGCGTGTAGCGAAGTCATACAGTCATCAAAATTATGTTTCCTACATAGACAACGCTCAATAGCAAGAACTGCCAAATTGTTCAATCTATTTATCTGTCGTAATCAATGGAAACAAAGATGTAATAGATTAAAAAAACACTGTAAAAACAGAATAAACACGCTGTCCTATTCATGATTATAAGTTATAAGGGTTTAATTTTATAATTTACACCTAGAATTAGCGGGGGGGGCCTATGAAAGTGCGGGACCCACTGCGGCCGCATAGGGTGCAGTGGCCTAAGGCCGGCCCTGTAGCCGATACACGTCAGCAAAACATTTTACCGTTAACGTCAGTCATCTACTGTTTACCCACAGTTCCATATTTTGATGTCAGCTTAACTCGATTCCACTGAACACGCTATTGGAGTAGTTTTTGTACACATTTTATATACTGTATTTTTATTTATTTACTATCAAAATACTGCATTGTACGATTTTGAGACGATATTGTACGATTTTAGGAGTTTGGGGGTAAACAGGTCTGTGTATATGATTATAAAATATGTGTGTGTTTGCATATATTTATAAAGCGTGTATGGAAATTTTATAACTTAAATTTACCTGATAGATTTAAATTTACTGAGATAGCATTGTCTATTTAGCTATTTTTCAACCTAAGTTTATAGTTAATGAACAATATTCTATAAAGCACATGTGTCAAACTCAAGGTCCGCGGGCCACATCAGGCCTGGGAAGTCTTGACCGGCGTACAATTATATCCAAGTCAATGCTATGGTGTTTCCCAATGAACACTTTGCTGAAAAACCTAGCTTACTTCGCGCTGAGTTCGCACGACACTTTAGTGATTTTGAAAAGACAAGAAAGGTAATTTTGAGCTGTTTCGTTACCCATTTGTCATAGACGTGGAAACTGCACCTGTAAATTTGCAGATGGAGCTAATAGAGCTGCAGTGTAATGGGACACTAAAGGCAAAGTACAACACAGTTGGGCCTGCACAGTTAACTCGTTTCATTCCTGAAGAGATGCCCCAGCTTTGTCTACATGTGGCTTGAACCTTGAGCATGTTGGGTAGCACATGTATGTGTGAGCAGCTGTTTTCTGTGATGAAGATTGACAAAACATGACACAGGAGTCGTCTCATTGATGTCCATCATGAGAATTTGCGTTTCTTAGACAGAAAGGGGGGGGGGGGGGTTAAGTAAAAATGCTGTGTTTTTTTTTTAATAGCTATTAAGGTGGAAGGAATTATCTTTCTAAGAGTTGAATACTTTATTTTTCAGATTGTCTCATTTATTTTAATTGGAGTAGCAGCGTATGGCAGAGTAGCAGCTGTAATAACAAGTTTAACATTGGTAGGCAGCTTGATTGCATGTGGAGTTTTTCTGTTTCTTATTGCCCTTGTTGGTCTTGTTGGGGCTGCGAAACATCACCAAGTCTTACTGTTTTTTGTATCCTTTAATTAACAAGTTAGCTGTTAAGTTTCATTTTGGTAACACAAAATCCCTCTCAATGATATTGTTTACATTTGTATTAATGCTCCATATTTGTATTAATGCTCCATATTTGTGTGAATTTCTCCTTTTATTACTAATTGATTTTCAAATTTTGTTTTGTTGCACTGTACATCTAGTAGCATCTCCAAGTCTTTGCCGTAAGAAATTAGTATATTGTTGTTAAAATGCTCTCAAAATTTTAATACCACTTATGAAACATGTTGGAAAGTTTACTACAGCAAGAATAATAATATAATATATGTTTATGCCATTCAGGTATGTCACGTAGTTAAAGCCTTGCAGATTGGTGGACTGTGTGTAATACAGAGGTAGGGTCATAAATCTTTTGTGACACAACTGTTCCTTCCCAGTGAGTCAGACTTTAGAAAAGAAAGCCTTTGGTGCTTTACTGAGTTTGTGTATTGATCTAAGAACTCTTTCTTCTGTGGGTACTTCCTTTGTGATAAGCAGTTTATTTCGTATCAAAAAGACATATATTCATTGGCTGGGCCCCAAACTGAAATTCATCCTACACTTGTATTGATTTTTTTTAAACATTAATGTACTCATTTTTTATTAGGATAAGGACATTGCTAATAAATCTTGACAAAAACTCTTGGGAATCAGATATAGACTTTTAAAGCATCACAAATTCATGTATGTAATTTTTATTATAATAAATGGAAGTATAGTCAAGATTCACTTTTTGGAACCCCTGGACAGAGCATTAAAGGGACAAAAAAAGAATTCTTTATATATATATATATATATATTACATTTCCATGGAGCAGCCTATTTGAGCATATATCCAGCTACATATTTTCCATATCTAACCATTTGTTTACATTATCTAACCATGTATTTACCATATATAACCATGTATTTACCATATCTAACCATGTATTTACCTAGTGTCCTCCTAGCTGGGTTTATGTGTGCAAAGAGAATTGTTTCTGAATTTAGGTGCAGTATCGTATATTGTTGGATTTCAATTTATATTTTGTCACACTTTCTGCTGGCTTTGATTCCCTAGCAAAGTTTATCTTTTAGCTTTAGTTTTTAGGTACTCCAGTCTTAAAGAGTTTGCCTTATTGGACATAAACTTCTCCTTCAATTAAATAATGAAATTTAAAAAATAAAATGAACAAATAGTACCATGCTTTGTAACCTTAATATTCCTTCTCTTTCATATTGAAGGTTCACATCTTGTAATTTATTGAAATATGCATCTTCATAGCAGTGAACAAATAATTAAATAATGTGCTATTTTGGCTACAAATATTCAGTTTATTATAAGCCAGGCCTATCTATAATCATCTTGGAGTGTGTAGGTGTAAGCCATGTAACACCTGTTGCCTGGACCAACAATAATATCTGCAGAAGCCGTACTGAGCACGAGGCTGGACCAGACAGCTGCGAGGGAACTTTTTGTTCTTTAACTGTCTAGTTCTTTTTTTTTTTTTTTTTTCAGTTGCTAATCCCTTTTGTACTTGTCCCGATTTTGTATCTCTTAACTCCTAGTTTCACTGTGTGTTTGGGCTTTTGCTTTAATTACAACCTTTTTTTTTTTTTTTATCTTTTTTTTTTTTTTTTTTTTTTTTTTTTTCAGTTGCTAATCCCTTTTGTACTTGTCCCGATTTTGTATCTCTTAACTCCTAGTTTCACTGTGTGTTTGGGCTTTTGCTATAATTACAACCTCATTAAAAATCTTTCAAAAAGCTGTAGGAAATCTTTCAAGTTTATATTTTAATAACTCCTTCAAACTTGTTAATACAAATATACTCATATTTGTTCTTTAACTGTGTAAAATTACATCATAGGAATTTTTGTAGACTGTTATTACAACTGTTTCTATAAAAAGTTGCTGTTCTCATTTCTTTCTTTTTTTTAGTTTTATCAAATAAAAAGATCCCAATAATTTTTGCGTAAAATACAATTTAGATGTTGAGTTTGAAAGGATGACTGACATCCAGGAGAAGTAGACAAGGAAATGAGATTAATACCCAGTGTGATACTAGGCTAAATAAAGTCACATAAAAATACTTTTTGAGTAACACACATTAATAGCCTTCTGTAATGCAGAGCAGGGCTTTGCAGCTTAGCTATACGTTGAAACATGGGTTTGAACTTAAGTTTAGATTGGAACTGGAACTTTATTTTCAAAAGGGGATCATTAAGTGGGTATTTTCAAAAGGGGATCATTAAGTGGGTGTTTATGTGCCAGCCAATGTTCCCTCTAAGGTTTGTTGGTTCGTGTGCAAAATCATAAAGCTGTGTGCAAATTTTTGCAGCATCAATTCATCAATTTTTTTGTGTGCAAAATTTTACAGCCTACAGACACAAACACACACTTAAGTGGAAATTAGCTGCGCGTACTCAAACTTGCTGGGCGGCATCTGTGAGATTGCTGCGCAGCTTAAAAGGAACATTGGTGCCAGCGAAAGGTTTAATCGCTTTTAAAGTAACCCATGAAGCTTTTTAAGCTGGCCACCCCTGCACTACACTCTTCCCCCCTTTATCAATGGTTAAATAAATTCTTATTTAGCTTATTTCATTGTTAAAAATTCAATAGTTGGCAGTTTGTGCATCATTTACTTTTAAAATAGATTATTTATGAAATTGTAAGATGAAGGAAAACAGTAAAACGTAAATTTTAATTACATCATACGCTTTTCTAATTAATAGTATTCGTGATAGGTTATTGTATCAAGTTGTTGAGACAAGATGTGCTCTGCTACAAACTGTAATTAGATATCATATTGAACATGTCAGATCATAAATTTTTACATCATAGAAGGCTTATTTTTCTCCAGCCCATGCACAATCAATGGTAGATATGGCCATGTTAGAACTAGACTAAGATGTCAATAAGATGTATGATGACTCATGGGAGTTGTTGTGCTTTTAAAAGTCAATATCTCTCTACAACTGTTACCTCATTGAAAATGAAGGATGTTGTAGTGGGACATGCTTGGTTGTATTGATCTTTATACATGATTTCTTTAATGACCTCAACATCTAATGGAGTGCACTTTGTCCTCATTTCAACATTGTCTTTTATGTATTGTAGCTGATATTAATTTATTTTCTTTGACCTGTTATACAACATATTCATTTTTAAATATGTTTCCAAATTAATGTAAAAGGAGTGGGTTTTGGCAGATTTAATATGAACTGAAGTTTATTTTGGTCTGTCTGCTGTTTGGATTTAATGTCAATCTCTTATTGTCAAACTAGTCTAGTGACCTCATTAACAAGAGCTATACCCCTTTCCACATAACCATCCATGGGCTTTGTAAAAGTGTGTGGTGGGGTAAGGTTATTGCTTGTATATTTCCTAGTGATGGTCTAAATGAGATGAACAGCCTTTCCTTGTTAAGTCACCTTCTTCTTTTGTATCTAATTATATTTAAGTGCAAGTTATTTCTTTTCTCAGCCTTTGCAAAAATACAAAATGTTAACACAGAAATTATCAAGATCTGCTTTTGTGGTTGTGTACTTTTTATTTGATTTGCGATGTTTACAGCCTCATGACATGATGACAATCACCGCCTTCAAAACTGTACTCAAAACACATCTCTTTAAACTCTACTATCCTAACTGATTCCCCCCCCCTCTGTTCGATAAACGATGCTGCTGGGTAGCCGTTCATGGCTGGACATATAAATAGTTCTTGAATGTGTTGAGTGAATATACATTTGTTTTGTATTATTTAATTAATGTATGTTAAATTTTTAAGTTCATGATTATTTATGGTTGTTAAATTGTATATGCAGCGTGGTGAGCCCAGCCCCAGGCTGGGGTACCGCACTATATAAAACCACCACTAATAATAATAACAATGATGTTTGTTCGATTACATATGGTCAAAAATAAATGCTTACAAGTCATAGCACTATATAAAAGACATGTGAGCCTTAATTCAGTAGTGATTTCTCTTTATCTGTTCCATACGATCTATGCACAACTTTTCTATACAAAGCCATATTTTTATTATTATTTTTGTAAAAGGGGATTATTTTTCCAGTTGTGAAGATTTTGCTATGGGTTTCCCTTAACACTTGTGCTCAGTATATGATCATTCTCTTTGTGTTGTTCCTGCTTCAATTTGCCTTGGCCTGTGCATGCCTTGCTGTCAATGCAGAGCAGAAGGACTCTTTGGCAAGGCAAGGATGGCAGATGTCAAGTGTTATGACCAAGGAAGATGTCCAGCACCAGTTCGACTGCTGTGGTTTTGAGGAGCCATTTTTGGGTGAATCAGACCCTCTAGGCCACCCACCGTGTGGTTCAAAGGTCAGTACCCTCTAATGCTAGCACGAGACAGCTTTAGTAACCAGGCTTTAATAGCCAATCATTACATTGGAACATCTTTACACCAGTTTGAATTAGTGGGTTTTTTTAACTGCTTACTGAAAATATTGTCAATTTCACCATCTTTCCACATGCTTCATATGAAATGCTGGAAAGTAAAGTTCTAGAAAATATTTATGTTATCAAACTATCAGGATTAAGATTCTTTATTGACCAAATAATAGGATTTTTTTTCTTTTAGTATTTTAAATACAAAATAAGTAACAATTTTTAAAAATTAATTGACCCTTTCATTACCGCTGGTTTTGGGCATCGATTTTTGCTGACTCAGCAACAAAAACAGAGAGGGGGAAAAAAAAAGAAATTTCTGGTATTTTTCATTCTCTATCCGATTTGCTTATTAACTTCTCTATAGATTAACAAATAAAGTAATATATGGCATTGAAATTTGACGTCCTTGTTATTTCAGTAAAGCGCTTTGCCTCTTAGTTATGACGACAATGTAATGTCCTTGGTAATTGAAAGTTGGTGATCGTGACGTCGCGTCATCAGTAATGAAAGGGTTAAAACATTCATATAGCAAAGATGAACACTTGTTAAACTATCACAATAGCTTTAAAAAAAGAAAAAATAACAGATATAATCCTTATTTATCTATTCCTGCAGTTTTAAAAATTTTAAATTTTAATTTATATCCATAAATATATTTAAGTTTTATCGATAATTATATATTTTTAAATCATTGTAGATTGTCTGTGCATTAACTGTATATAATATTAAATGTCCTCATCCACAGTTCACTAAATGTTGTGAGATAAACAACACCAGCGCTTGCTGCACTGGAATTTATCCCCCTAAAAATGCCAGCGGTGAAAAAGATTTGGTGTGCCCATGTGACACCTGTTTGGATAAACTGAAGCCAATAATCTACAATGCCTTCTCTGCTACTGGCGGGGTTGGCCTCTTTTTCAGCTTCACTGAGGTATAGCATCAGATCATCATTTTCTTTATTTTTTATAAACATTTGATTAGGAAGTTAAGATATGAGCTTATCATTATCAAAAACTACTCATTTATCTCCTACAATCACTCATAATTAATGTTTCTACTAGATTTTAGTATCCAAACCTCCAGAGTGTGGGGTGTTGTGTGGCATTTCATGGGGTGTGAGAATATCAGAACAGAGGAGAATCAGCTTTAAAGTTATGATACAAATGTTTAAATATTTTGTGACATTACTTTAACATTTTCCTTTATTTCATCAGTCGTAAGTTTATTTTCAAAGTTCTACATTTCACTTTGCAATACAATAAATTTAATTAAAAGCCCATTATTTTCAAATATTCAAATTCATTTTTACCTTTGTGTAGGATGGGGGAGGGGGGGGGGGGTGGGGCGCACTCTAGTCAAATAAATGGAAGGGGGGGGGTAGAAAAGGTTTGGAAACACTATCGATATTTTTGTAAATTACTAATAACATTCATTTTTTTTCAGCTGGGGGGGGGGGGGGGGGGGGGGGGTGTGGCGCACTCTAGTCAAATAAATGGAAGGGGTGGTGTAGAAAAGGTTTGGAAACACTATCGATATTTTTGTAAATTACTAATTACATTCATTTTTTTTCAGCGATGCTCTTTTTATACATGTCATGAGTGAAACATTTAAAAGAATTTAAAAACCTAGTCTGTTAGGGTTATTTAGACTGAAACTAATTAAAATTAAACTTCATTTTTTATTTAAAAGCAAATTTAAATACCGGTAAATAAAATGTTAGTAGAAGTAGAAAGAACAAAATTCCATAAAGTTAAACCAGTATTTGATACTGTAGAGAATTTCTTGGGTTTCTTAGAGCTTTAAAGTTCATAAGATAGGATGTTGCAACAGCAGCATTACACAAAAGAAAGATATTTAATTACTCACTGAACACTGGTCATTTTCGGGGGCTTCTATTTTTTAGTAGCTTGTTATAATCTACACAAATGTTCATTCACCAGACTGGGTTGATGCTTCTGTATACACAGCTGCAACATAAAGTTTTTTTTACTGTACTTTCCTTTGGCCTGATCCTATGCCCCGAATTATCCTGTTGTTTTTTTTTAAGGTACACTAAGTCACCCAGACTAAAATATTTTAAATTTTGGCCAACGACCTTTTCAGATCATAGGTGTGTGGCTGACCATTCGCTACCGCAACCAGAAAGACCCTGCAGCTAACCCCAGTGCTTATCTTTAACTCAAAATCCATTTAGTACATATTTCCCAGCATTGTCAGGTACTCCCGTTTCTCTAACCTCCCTTGTAACTTCTGGGTCTTGGCAGCATTCAATAATTATCTTTGTCTTCTCTGTTGTGATGAGCATTTATTTAATTTTAAATTTCTTTCTTTCAATGTTATTATGTTGGTGGTGTTTATAGTACTTTTAATTCTCCAATAGCTGCATCACCTCAATCTTGCGCCCCCTCATTTTTGTAATATTTGGTTAGGGTCTTCATTATAAGCTGATATATATATTGAACATTTTTTTTTATAATAAATTAAAAGGAATCCACATATCTGTTTATTTATTTATCATATATAATCTTATAATTTTGTTTGAATAAAAATTAATTCTCTTTTATTTATTGAACTTTATACATTAGGCCTATGTCTAAAAAAAAAAATGAAACGAACAGTTTGTCCGTCCCCGCCCCCCCCCCTCCCCCCCAAAAATATCCCAAATTCGTCAATTAAGATGACACTTAACTTCTTAAAACAAGTTAGTCATGCCTGAAAAATTAAGTATGTCTTGATATGTATGATAACATTTCTATAATTGTTTCTTTTGGTTTGGAATTAGTATACTTGAACAAATCTTTGTTTTAAAAATAGTTGGTGTTCATGAATCTACCTTCTTTGGTGCATCCATCATCTTCAATGTATTTTTCTGTTACATGAAAAAGATTTCCCTTTCCATTAGCTGTCAACTTATAGGGTATACCAATACCAGTAATATTTCCGTAATAATTTAATACATTTTTTTTAAATAAAAGAATTGGGTGGAAAAGCTATTCTAGGAAATAAGAAAAATAAATTATATTTTGTTTATCACACATAATTCTCTGGGTATGTATATATGTAAGTATATGGATTGCTGAGTTCAGTTTCGTTCAAATTAAAAGTCCTGATATCTGTACCAAATGAGATTAAAAATACTGCAAGTGCATTACATGCTTAATATTTTCTTTTGTTTTACGGAAATAGTCTCAATTTAAATATGATGCAATAAATATGTGCAGTAAAAGGGGAGTGGAGCATTAAAATATTAATATAGTTAAGGGGCAAAAGTGTGGGGTGGCGTACCTGGCTAGTGGGGAGGGGTTCTTATTAAGTGCCTTTCTTGGTTGCATGTTTTGTCAAGTCAGTTGGAAAGTTTACACATTTTCTCCACCATTATTTGGCAGAATATTTCTAGTCATAAAAAAGATGTATTACATATATTCCTTTCATAATGTTATAAATCTTAAAAGCTAGGCTTTTTTTTTTTTTATAAATGATATGAGTTCACAAAAGGCTTTGGGGGTCTTATGTTATGCAGGTCTATCTTACTGCAAATGAAATTCTAAGTAAATGGATTTGGCTCAAAGGTGAAAATCACTGACATAGGAGAACAGCTGACCTTTGCTGATACATATAATTATGGGATTATGCCTCTTTATAATTATATGAAGATTATTTGGATCAATCAAAAATTAATGGAAAAGTGTTTCAGCATGTAGATAAACATTCTCTTTAAATAACAATTTTTTAACTAGCAATTCTTACAGATTTAGGGCAAATGAATTTCTATATCTTTCGATCCTTACTTGAGGGAAATAATTTTCCCTGATGACCTTAAGTAACTGGATGAAGTGAGGGGTGTTTCCTCCAAAACATACTTTTTAGCTTTACAAATGCATTTTGCTTGAAATAATTTCTTCAAGCGATTGTAGTTTTGTTTGTGTGATACCACTTGCTTTTATAAGTCTATTTAATTTTTGATGCGGAGGAATAAATTTCTATGCCAGCAGGTAATACTGAAGATCAAGTCTTTCAACTTTTTCCTTGTAGAATATGTTTATAATTTGTTTATTTATGCCAAATTTGTATAAATTTTAAGAAAAATAAGTATTTGATTTACTTTTTTTGTATAGAAATTGTGTATTGATAAGAAAAGAAAAACAAGCACTGATTTTAAAATATGTATTATATGGTTTGTTTATGATCAGAACCTTTTAGCAATGTGTATATTTGTTTCTTTTCTTTAAAATATAGACAAATAATTCAATAATTGAAGCCATACTATAATTTAAAATTACAGGATACTTCTAAAAGATATTTTAATTTATGTTACAAAATGTATCAATTTTCAAAGAACAATATATTTTTAACACATACTTGTTTACTTACTATAAAGAATATACATTTATTTAAAGATCAATTATTATTTAAAATATGTGGCTAAACATCAGAGTAAATGTGACGTACATACTTTATCATATACACTAAACAACAAAAATAGCTCACATAAATTAGTACTCATTTACTATTAACTTTTATTTGCTTTTTTCAACCGTAAATTAGCATACACTCAGAAAGTTAACTTATTAATTAATTTTTTCAACTCATTTTCTTTTTTTGTTGCATCAGTTGGATACTTTTATGATCTTAAATAATCCTATTTATTATGTCATTTAATTAATCTTTGTTTATATTTAGTTTATTATTATTTTTAAGACAAGCTTGTTGGTGATACATAATTATTGTCTTACCTATTCTTTGCATCTCTCACAGAATATGTGGAGAAGCTTATTTGTAAATCTTTTTCTTTTTCAGTTGGTGTTTATGCTAGGGCTGTGTTGTAACTAATATACACACAAATTCTTTATCAGTATAATTATCTTTACACTTAAGTCAAATTTGACCTATGTCAAGCTCAATAAGGTGTAGCACTTTTTATTTTAGCTGTAAAGATGATGGTAAAAACATTTAGTAAAGCTCTCAAGGTTTTAGTAAAGTTGAACCCATCCCCATGGACTTATTTTCAAACAGGTTACCTGAACTTATGTTTGTGGCATGTATTTTCTGTGTTTGCTTTCATGCAACTTATGCAATCTTTTGGCATTCAAATTTCATCTACCCTCAGTCAAACTCCATCTGCTGTCTTAAAATATGTTCCTGGTGTTATCCCCATAACAAAACCATTGGTGCAAGAAGTTCAGTTAATTGCGCTTGAGGTATAAAAGTTTGCATCCCTGTATAACCTATGTGTGTTTTTTGTTCACAGATTATTGGTGTGTGGTTGGCCATGAGGTACAGAAACCAAAAGGATCCCAGAGCCAACCCTAGCGCTTTCTTGTAACATTAGTTTCAATAGTGTCTTCTCCTAGTCTGTTTTTACCTGTAGCTCCGGTCTTGATTGACATTGTTATTGTGACCATTATCACAAATGCCATGTGACAAATATGCCAGGCAGAATGCTCTGCGAACCACAGGCATAATGTAATCATATTTGGTTGGTTTTTCTAAGTTATGAACATTTGCTATGTTCATTGCACATCAACACTTTTTTAAATTCTTTAACCACTGAGTCAAATGAAAATTATTATTTTTGTTTTTGGCCTTAAACCTGCATAATCCATTACAGAATTTTTTTTTTTTTTTATGAATATGAAATGCTTTATCACCATCAATGTTCATTGTCTCAAAATTAGAGGGTCACTTAAAAAAGAAATCCATCTTCTGTGGCATTTGTAAATTGTGATATCATAAAATTAGTTGTAATTTTTAAACCATTGCATAGCTTATAAATATTGGTCTCAGGGCTCTGGAAAAGGTGGAAAGTTGTATAAGTGTATGTTATTTGGTACTATATGTTTTCTCAGTGCAATCTGAGCGGGGCTGATGGAGACAAATGAATCCTGATTTTAATTTTGTCTGTTGTTTTATTATTTACATAATAGTATTGTAGACTGGCATAATTGTTTGTTGTTATGAAGTCAATATGTATCTTTTCTTTTTTATAATTATATCTCAATAAATTATTTTCGTATTATTTTTGTCATAATATAGATTGACTGCATTATACCACAACCAATTGAATAACTTATTTCTAACATAATTGTATGGTTTAATTATCAGATTATCCTTTGTAAACAGAAGTAATGTTATTTAGTGATATGATCATGGTTGTAGTGCTTGTAGCTCGATCTTGTTGTCCAGGGCTTATGTTTGTGGGAAGACACATTTTATATTATTCACATGCCACAAGTCTAATGATGATTTAGGGGAATAATTGGGATATTTCATCCTTAAACAAGGCTTGATTTCATCTTAAATTAATTTTTTTAACCAGCAATTTTTTTTTTAAAGTGCACTTTATGATGGCAAAGATAAGGAGTCATTTCTTTGTGTCCATTGGACTTTTTTTTTATGAATTTGCAAATTGCAAAGCATATTTTTGAACAATCTGCACTTCTTACTTTTTTATCCATTTTTTTAATTTTAGAAAAAAAAATTAGCCGCTTCTAGTTTTGAACCCTCACCCCTTTACAATCTCAACATTTTATTCTCTCTTGAAAGTATTTATTTCCCACTTTACTGCTCTGCTGTATGCACAACATCTATCTGAAAGTTACCACCAAGGTTCAACCCCAAAATATTATTTTCTGTTTTCACTGCACAAGGGTAAGAGAGAGTTTTGTCATATATTCTAGTTTAATCTCCACCACAGCTACTGCATTTCTATGGAGTGTTCTATTATTAAAGTTAGGCCATATTTGTCATTTTTAATTTGTTGTACACTATTACATTGTCCAAGTAGTATATTTTGTAGTTATTTAAATCATCCCAAAGTGAGAAAAACTCTTAAAAACTTACAAGTCTAGCAGTATATTTGTAATGGTAATTATAATAAATTTACATTAAAAATTGCAGACTTAATTAAACTTTAACATTTTGTTATTGTAATCACATTTTTCTAGCACTGTATTTTTTTAACTGTCATTCTCTTTGCATATCAACTTAAAAATGACTCAAAATAAAGGCCTACTCCACCAAGATTAAGATAATGGTACTTGATGTTGAGTTTTACCTCCATATGTCCCATTTCTTCCATAAACTTGTGTCAGCAAGTAGTGAAATTTTAATTCATTTTTCTAAATCTTAAATCCAGCTAAACATAATTAAATTAAATTTAGTTACATAATAATTGGTAAGCTACTGTGAAAATAAAAATGAAATACTTTCTAAAAACGTGTACTAATGCAAAAGGAAGAGTAATATAAAGTTTAAAAAGAATTAAACAAAAATGTTAGCAATTTAAACAAGTATGCGAATGGTAATTTTAACATCACTTCCAACTTTAAATTTTGTTTGATGCTGGGATAATTTCAGTATTTAAATAGCACACTACCATAGAGATTTAATTAAAATGTCTTCAGTATTTTAAAGCTGTTTTTAAATATTGGCTTATGTTTAAAACTTACATAATTGTGCCAATATTAACCGGGACCAAATTTTGGTGTGATTCAGAATGTTATTATTCCAAGGTTTGACAATATCATGTTGTTGTTTTTTTTTTGCATGTTCTAAATAACCAAGCATTACAATGTTAAATAAGTCATGAACAATATTGGTGACAAAATTTCACAACACTTCATGTGTCATATACTCTTAAAATTCAATTTTGAATCTCTTAATTCAGCACTGTATAGTTTTTTAGTTATCCTGTGAGTATTTCTTTAATTTTAAATAAAGCAAGCATTTTCTATTATTGTCACTTGTGCTTCCATCTATTGAGCAAGTTTTAGCCTAATTTTCAGCTCAGCTTTGTCAAATTATTATGTAATTCTATAAATTTATATGGTTGACTTTGAAAAATTTAGGTAGTATTTATTTTTTCATTGAAAAGAAAGTTCAACAAAGGACCTCGTCAAATAAATGAAGATTTCTTTTTAATTAAAGCACTTATAGGACTTTGCAATAGTATCATGACTGATTACACATTTCTTTTATTATAACTGCTGTTACTACTTTCAAATAATATAAAATACATGACTTACTAATTTTTGAATTTAGTTTTAGTGTTAACCTTTTTTTTTCAGTTCAAAAAAAAAAAAAAATTGGGAATTTTATTGGATTGCAATTGTTTATTTTATTTTACAAACCCAAGAGTTAGTTGTTTTTATTTTCTTAAATTTTTACTCCAAAAACAAATTAAGAAATTTGATTATCATCCCCAACTGGTTTTCAGCTCTTTTCTATTATTTCTTTTATTATAATTTCTGTTATTACTTTAAAAAAATATAAAATACATTACTTACTAATTTTTGAATTTAGTTTTAGTGTTAACCTTTTTTTTTCAGTTCAAAAAAAAAAAAAAAATTGGGAATTTTATTGGATTGCAATTGTTTATTTTATTTTACAAACCCAAGAGTTAGTTGTTTTTATTTTCTTAAATATTAACTCCAAAAACAAATTAAGAAATTTGATTATCATCCACAACTGGATTTCAGCTCTTTTCTATATCGTCCCACATTTGGTCGCCATTGGTGTTTTAAAAGCTCTTTTTATGCTGAATTTCAGGACGTGACTACCCTGAAACGTATTTAATTCTTTTAATTTTATGACTATTAAAAGGCTTATTTCAACAAATTGAAATATTATACTTAGAACTGCTAAGATCTTTACACCACATGAGCTTAGGATTTCAAGTTTATTAAGTTATAAACTGGCAAATAACAATAGCTTTGAACAATATACTAAGAGTTTTAAAAGTAGCATTTATAATACACATGGCTTTAAAATAAATAAAAATTATGGATACCAATAACTTTAAACTCAAGGAATAAATGGCCTGTTGATTTTAAAATAACAACTTATTAGTTAATTGATAGTTTTTTTAGTTGTGATTTTTATTTCTAATTTATATAATTAATAAGACAAAAAGTTTTTGAATATTTTATTTTGTTAAGTTCTATTCTACTAAATTTGTACTTTAATTTTTTTTTCCTGATAAAAAATATTTATTGTAAGTTATCCAAGCCTTCTGATAGGTTTTGTTTGCTAATTTCTTGAGAAAATGTGTCATGTGTGGTGGAAGGTAAAAAAAAGTATTTTGAAAAACTTTTTTTATGTCATTTTATTTTCTAAAGCAATATTTCATTAGTATTTATTGTTTATTATAATGTATAATTTATTTTGTTTAAATTTAAAATAATTATGTATGTCAAATACTTGTAGGACATTTTGTTCTTGCAATTATTATTTTTTTATATATTTCTGTCTTAGTTAAGACCTATGTGCATTCTGAGAAGAAATAAAACTCCAATGAAAATGAAATTATAAATCAAATTATCATTATTTGACAATTCTGCTTTTAATATCTCACAAATTCCCTCTGTCAGTCATTACACAAGTCCTTAATACAAAGGGGATTTCTGTTTAGCCTTATCCAAAGCTAGAAAGAAAAAAAATCCAAATTTCACTGAAATCTTAAGTCAGAGAACAATTATTAACAGAATCAGGCATAAAGACAATATTGTAGTAAAGTTTTTCAAAAATAATTGCATGTCCTCTTATTTTTGTCAATTTGATTGCCAGATTTCTCACAACTAGAGATCTCATTTTAGTTGTATCTAGCTGTTAACTGGAAAAATATTACTTTGTAATATTGTGGTAATGCATTCCCATTTATGTCATTTTTTAACAACCACTAGCATTTATTTATTCCTTCTTAAAATAATGGATACTTTAAATATTACTTAATGTGAACTCAAAATTTCAAAAACGTATACGTTTTTTAAGATTAATGATTGATACTTAATTTAACCTCTATCACTTAATAAAGTAATTTAACCTCTTGACAAGCTATTATTCAAAACAATTTTATTTTTTTAATCTCTTCTGCATTGTTAAGTTGTTGTTTTTTCGAAATCATTGAATTGTCTTTATTCATGTAATAAGTTCTGTGCAATAAAAGTAAAATGGTTTTGTTCTTAATAGAGTTTTTGTTCAATTTTTTGGGAGAAACTTCTATTAAAAAAAGGTAAATATGTTAAACCTCTGTATTCAGCTCCTCATACACTTAGAAAATGGAACCAAAAAAGGTTTGACTTGAAGTAAAATATATGAAGAAAAAAAACATTTTTATACATTTTTTTTTATTCATAATAAGGAAACAATTTTTAAAAAAAAATACTTTGTACCTTAACAACAAGATTGATGGATCACAACAAATTTATGGTTAAAAACCTAGACTGAAAAAAACCCACACATTCTGAGATTTTAAAGCTGCATTTATACATGACACCAAATGACTCAATGCATCTGAAAGACACCACACTGAAATTTGGGAGTGCCATTGTTTTATACTAAACAAATACCTTTTTATAAAATCTGGATAAGCAAAAAATGTTTACAATTTTATCTTTTTTGTTTAAAAAAAATCCCTTGAGCTAAAAATATAATATTAGGCACTTTTTAATGGAAAACACAAGCTAAGATTTTACCTTAATGTGCAGTAGTTTGCATTTTTAACATTATTTGCAACTAACACAACTCAAAAGGCAATTGAAGCTCTTATTTAAACACTTGGTAATATTTGGGGGGAGGGTGTGTGCCTTTATAGACTTGAGTATATAAATAAAATATAGACTTTAGTTATATCAAAAAGAAAAAAATGTTAAAACTGGAAGAAAAGAATACTCTGGGATAGTTATTCCTTTACGTTTACTGATAAAATACAATTTAAGGTTACCAGAATTACTATTACTTTTTTAAAACAAATATTACCTTTAAAAAACCCTTTGGATTCAGCAATACTTTAAAAACTAACTAACACGATCTGTAATAATGAAATACAAAGCTTGGTGAAACCTCATCAAAAGTTGATCATTTTTGTTTCTTATCTTTAAATTATTACTTTTCATAAAATCTCTTGGCTACTCATTTAATATATGGGAAATATTTAGCAAATTGCTTAAGCTAATATGCTGTTACATTACCAAAACCTTCATTTCTGTGACCTTCATTAGTTTTAAATAACTGTATGTAAATTATTGACTTTCTAGAAGCCTCAAATGTTGACAATAGGCCTCTAAAAGAACCAACTGAACTTTAATAGTCCTTTAATTACTACTAAAAATAAATGAATACTTATTTACTATACAAAACTTCTTTATGTTTTAAAAAGATAGATAACTAAAAATAAACAAATAAGAATTAATGGTAACCAGTATTAAGCAACACCTGTTATCACAGATAAAAATATAAAGGTTTTCATTTTGCTTTCAATTCATCTTTCCCTAGAACTATAAAGCCTAAACTCTTCTTATGTATTGAATATTTCAATCAAACAATACTTTCTCTTCTCTAAACAAGAATGGCCTTGATTAGGGGCACCAATAAAGATATCATCACATCAGTATTGCTATAAATAACTACAGAGAATCTAATAAGATGCCATAAAAGTCTCTTCAAGTAAAATACATGAAATACTAAGTGACCAGATTTTTTACATTTTACAAGCACTCTAGCTGTTATAAGCAATATGGAGAGAAATTACTGTACCATTTTTCATTTAGTTACATCATAGTTTCTTTACCAGGTAAACCCATGAGAGGTTTTTCTTATCTAACAAAACAAGGTTAACAAACAAAAAAACTGCTCTAGTACTCAAAACTGATTTTTTAATGAATATCATGTTGAGTTTTACACTAATTTTTAGGCCCTAATGGCAAAAAAATCTAAGGTGTAACTTTTAAACTTAAACTATAAAGACTTTGTAATTTTAGTATTTTAAGAGATTTTAATCTGCATACATGCAAATTATCAATTAGTTCTTGATATTGAAGTGTCTAATTCTTCAAAATGGAATTTGAATGTTGGGCTCCATTGTGATTAAACTATTTTATTTTAAACTCAAAACATATTTCTTAGAATTTTTTTTTTAAAAGAGAGAAACCAATCAAGATAAAAATATAAAAAATGACAATGGACATGAAACAAAACTAAACATTTAACATTCTTTTTATTTATTTTAAGAATTCAAACAAGATTTGAAGTGTAGAGCAAGGATAGATTTATCCAGCATAATAAAAAAAATACAATGTTTAAAACAAAAATTTATATTAATCCTCACAATAATCTTCAATACAAAACAATATATTTATAATCATGGTGTGACGTAAATGACATGTCATTCTATTACATATTACAAATAAAATCAAAATTAGCAGTGACAGTAAATATTTAATAATTTATAAGAAATAAAACAATATTTACAAGCTAACAGGCATCTTATAGATGAAAAGTGTTTAATATAGGACTGTGATTTCTTTAATACAATTTTCCACTCATTAACCCATAGACCCCAAACTGATTTTCTATTGATGTGAACATAAGGTCTCAATAATTTGGCATCTTAAGACATTGAAGGACTTAATAATTCAGTATGGAACTAGCTCATTTACCTATTGAAGGGCTAATACATCTATATTCTTGGTTTCACATATATAGGATTCGGGTAATATCTTTTTCGCTCCATGTCTTTAGGCTCATTGTATAATTTTAATGTGTGCTCTGAATTAGAAATTATATTTTAGTTGTGCATAAATTTATAAGATTTTCAACTAGGGAAAAATTATGGTACTTGTCACCATTTGCATAGTCCTTTAAAAAAAACAGAAATTATTCAAGGAATTAATTAAAGCCACAATTATTTTCTTTAATATAAATACAACTTTGACCACATGAAGTGTGGGCTTTTACTTCAAAATCACAAGGAAACAAAATGGAAACTAGCTACTATCACATAGTATAATGAAACTATGTCATTGTGAAGTCATACAGATGTTTGAATGAATTGGTAATCAAATCAAAACAAAACTGTAAATTGCACTTACACCCTGTTGTCAAGATAAGTGTTTGTAGTTCTATAGCGTGTTTGTACACTCTGGTACTAGGAAACTCAGATTAAGGTGGTGAGTTTCCAAGCCAGGCTAAACCCCATGACCCCCAATTATTTGTTTGGAAGGTTCCTGTTGCTGCCATCTATTCAAACAGTAAAGAAGGTCAGCCACAGAACCAGCTTCTGCTGCTTTTCAAGAGCTGGCTTAGCTAACAGACATAGTAAATTTCAGCATCGCTTAGAAGAGTCTTATTTGCAGCTCTGGATTGGCCGTTTATGAAAGTGTCCCTTGCAGACATCTTGACCTCAACTAACTTTTTAATACCACACTGCATTTCTAATACCAAGCTAGCATACCAATGCTAACAACATAAAATTTGAATTATACATTTTGGAATTCAGTAGGGAATTCTGTATAAGTAGATTTTTTTCTATTAACAATGAGTCAGGTTTCATTACATGTGTGGCCTTGCAAGTCTAGGTACAAGAATAAACTGTCCTTGAGGGTGGACACCAGGCATGACATGGTGCATCCCTGGCATTAGTCCATGAAATTGGGCAGCTTGAGCATGGGCTGCCTGTGCCTGAGCAGCTTGGAACTGAACAGCTTGGGCTTGAGCTTGGGCTTGTGCATGGGCTTGAGCCTGAGCTTGGGCCTGGGCAGCCATCATGTGAGTAACATACTGAGCACTAGTTACTGCAATGCCAGGGTGAGCAGCCATTTGAACTTGATGAGGATGGACTGCTCCTGATGACAGCATCACATGTTGTTGCATGGGTGATGCTTGGAGAGCGTGGTGGGGCATAGCAATCATAGGTGCCCCAGCCTGATAGGGAATAGAGGAAGGAGTTGCATATGCAACCTGCCCATTGGGTAGTTGCACAAGCTGAGGTTGAGCTGAAGCCATGACATGCTGATGATGCAATTGTGCTGCATGCAGAGCTGGGTGAGTAGCATGTACCAGATGAGGAGTAGACACAAGGCCATACGGCGAAGGGGACGCAGCCACAGGATGCGGCTGGAGTACAACTGTCGGTTGCTGAACCAATGGAGACTGAGTGGCTGGTAGAAGAATGGTGGTTCTTTCATCAACATTCACTTCATCAGCTCCTTGTGCTGCAAGTAGTGCAGCCTCTTCCATCTCCTTCTGCTCAGCAGCCAACTTGGCTTCGTCCTCTTTCTTCTTGGCCAACTCTTCTTCATCTTCATCACTGCTCTCTGGTTCCCCTTTCGCTTGATGCTCTTGTTTTCGCTGCTGCTTCTTGGCATGTTTTTGAGCCTGTTCCTTAAAGAAAAGAAAATCAGGTCAAGCATTGAAAAATTAAAAAACTTAAAAATAATTTTTGTTCTTTCTGCACAAGAAAATAGTTGGTATCAAAATTATTATTTGCAGAGTATCAAATGTATTTAAAATGTATATAAATGGAACAAGCACAAGCTGAATTTTCAGTTTCCAACATACAAAAAAATTATGAAAGCTAGCATGCATTTAAAATTATTTTAGAACCCAGGGGCAATAATGGATAGTAAATGAAATATTTAACTTGATCAAATAACATAGTTTGTGTAAGTCTTGCATATCTCTTCATGTAGTTCTAATTAAAATGACTTACTTGTAGTTTTCTATATTGCTCAGCCTGCTCTGGTGGAATGAGGGGTGCCATTGGCTTTATCTCTTCTTTCTTTGGTGGTGGTGGGGGTTGAGGTGTAGGTGGTTTGGGGGGTGGTAGTGGTGGTGGTTCAAGAGACTCAGAATTGCCTTCAGATGCACCTGATGAACTTGCAGGAGGCGGCACATGAAAATTAGGTGGTGGCTGACTGAAGTTAAGCATAGGATTTCTATAATTCTGGCCCCCTGGACCACGTGGATGAGGCATTCCTGGTCTCATATGAGGAAACTGTCCATCTCTTGAACCTGACATAGATCCAGGTGGTCCCATTCTGGAGCGTGAGCCTTGACCAGGCATGGGTGGACCCATTCTTGGAGGTCCCATTCTTGAACGAGGGCCACCTGGTCCCATTGGTCCTGGAGGACCCATCATTCCTGGTCGAGGTGGACCTCGCATTCCAGGAGGTCCATGCATTCCTGGAGGCCCTCTTGGTCCTGGTGGACCACGAGGTGGGCCTCGAGGTGGTCCTCTCATTCCAAGTGGCCCCATTGGACCCATTGGAGGTCGAGGTCCCCTGGGCCCCATTGGTCCATTTGGACCCATCCTAGGTGGGCCCATTCCTGGTCTAGGAGGCCCAAAGCGAGGATCATGTGGTGGAAACATTCGAGGCGGTGGACCCCGATATCCTGGAGGAGGGGGGCCCCTGAGACGAGGATGCATATTTGGCCCTGGATGTCTCAATGGTGGATGATGATATGGGTCATGATTATAGTCATATTCCTCCTGACTTTCATCATATCCAGGGTCATATTCACCTCCATCAAAATCAAAACTTTCATAGCCAGTGTCCTCACAGAATGAAGGGTCATGAGCAGACTGGTAGCCCATATGGTTGTAGCCATGTAGATCATACCCTGAATGATCACCAGTATGATCTATTGATCCCATCAGAGGTTCGGGTTGAGCTACTGCTGGTGTGCTTTCTGGTGTCGCAGTGCTTAATGTTGTGTTGGCTACAAGTGATGAGCCAGCAACAGAATTAGTAAGTGAAGTTGATGTTGAAGATGTTACTGCACCAGATGATGCATCTTTGGTTTCAACCTTTGCCTTGTCCCCAGCATCTGGTAGAGGTATATCAATAAGACCTGCTTCTTCTTTTTTCTCTTTATCCGTTTGACTTGATTCAGCTGGAGATTCTTTGCCAGGCAAAGGTATATCCTCAGGAGGACCTCCACCAGTACTTCCCCCTTTACCACCAGTTGTACTTCCAGTTACTGGTGCTACAGTTATATTAGTAGCTAAAGCAGGTAAAACAGGGGACTTGATAATCTTCCTGAGTTTGTTTCTTGGACTTCTGGATTTTCCCCGCCTGGAACGGGAGCGAGAAACTGACCTAGTGTAACTCCTAGAGCGTGTGTAAGACCTGCTTCGTGACCAGCTGGAGCTGGAGCGACTACTGTAGCTGTGACTTCGGCGGCGTCTCGATGAAGATCTTCTGTGGTGGTGACGATGGCGAGATCGACTCCGGGTATAACTTCTAGATGAACGACTAGGGGATCGTGACTCATCACTGTATCGGGATTCATCTGTGTAGCTTCTATAGGAATCAGATCTGGACCTAGGAGACCTTGATCTAGAACGTGACCTCGATGACCAGTCAGATGAGCTGTACGATCGTCTGCTACTTCTGTTATGGCTTCGGGACTTACGTTGAGATTTAGGATTGGTAGATACAGAACTCTCCTTGTTATTATTGTCCAAATCAGCTTTTGTTTTGTTCTGCTCTGTGCCTGTGCTAACATGACTAGTAGTATTTGGAGTTGTCTGCTTGTTGACATGGTTGCTTGCCAAATTACTTTGACTGACTACAGTTTTAGAGAAAGGTATCTTGCCATTCACCTGCTTGGGTTCCTGCTTAGCCTTATCCTCTTCAGACACGGCAGCAGGGCCATTAGCAGTAAGGGTTTTAGTTAAGGCATCTTCACCCTCACTCTCACTTGTATCCCACTTGCTCTTTGTCCCCTCCCCTTCTTCTTTATGTTCAAAGAGACCTTCCATCTTACTCCATGAGTCCTCAGTGGGATCACTTTTCTCAGATTTGGTTATTTTAGCTGGAGTGGCAGAGTCCGAAGCTGAAATGCTAGCTGACCGCTTGCGAGTTGATGATAGTCCACCATTTGGTGTTTTATTTGCAGACTCGTTAACAGCTTCTTTTTTAACAATCGTTTGGTCTTTAACGGGGACATTTTTGTTTGGGGTAGTTTTAACAGAATCTGGTTTTTTATTCTCTTCTACTGATTTTTTGTGTGTTTTGAAAATAATGCTAAGGTCATCTTTACTTGTCTCTTGCAATTTTATAACATTTTCAGAGCTATTTTCATGACCTGCGCTACGCCTGTGTTTTTTCTTTGAGCGCCGAAACCTTTTCATTTTTGGCTCTCCGGTAGGTATCTGTTCATTATCTGATGGTATGTGGGTCTCTTCTTCATCATTATAATCAATTTTTACCTTGGGTTCTTTAGCATTGACGGTATCAATGTTATTATGCACTTTTGCCTTCTCTGAGGCACTATGTGCTTTAGCTTTCTCTGATCTAGAGGACCCAGGTCTCCTATGTTTTCTCTTGTGTTTTTTATGCTTTCGAGTAGAAGAGGTTTTTTCTCCATTTAGAGCTGCTTCAGATTTCTCCTCTTCTTCAATTTTCTCCTCTTTAACAGCTTGAACTCCATCTCCATCCTTTTCTTTATGACTTCTCTTGCGTTTAGACTTCTTTTTGACCTTACCATCCCCTTCTTCCACTCCTTCTTTCTCCTCAACTTCATTATTTTCCCCTTTCTTACTTTTATGCCTGCGCTTTCTCTTCTTTTTCTTCTTCTTTTTCTCTTTTGGCTTCTCTTCCCCCTCAGGCAATTTTTCTTCACCTTCTACCTTTTTAGTATCATCTTCAGGTTTTGGTTCCTCATCTTTAGGTTTGCTACTTTTCTTTCTCTTGTGTTTCTTTCTTGAGTGTTTACGTCTTGACTTATGGGATTTCTCAGGATTATCACTAGCTTTGGGCTTTCCATCCTCCCCTACAACATCTTCTTTTGGGACATCAAGTGTTTCAGCCTCTGGTTGCGGTTCTGATGCTTTTGGACTAAGCACATCTGTTTGTTTATAAATATCCTTAAAGTTGAACTGGAGAGGATTGCAACTAAAGTGCAGTGATGGGCTGGTCTTGGTATACTTGATGGTCTCAACAGGCCAATCAATCTCATCATGTGGTTCTTTGACTAGCTTGACTTTGACAAAGCTTTCCAGTAAACGTGGGTTTGTTGTGCCAGTAGAAGCACTAGGTGATGTTAGCACTTCTTCTAATGCCACTTCTTCCCCTGGCCTGCAAGGAATTTCATGTAAATAAATGTAGAGATTAATAGTTTACTGGACACAAATTAACTCTTTACACATGTCAAATGTATCATATCATATCATAAATAAAACGAAAAAAACATTATTAATGAAACTGTGTAAATGCTTAATTTAATATTTCCTTCCTTATCATTAATTTATGTGTCATCAAATTGTCATTTTTCGAATATAAAATTTTTCTTTTTTAAAAGGTGGTACCACTAGTCCAACCTTTTCATAAAAACCGATTTTGATCAGCATACCTCTGTAATTCCTTCTCTTCCTCAATGCTGTCCACCAATGTTAAAGGCCTAGGTGGAGGTAACTCTTCAACATCAGGTTCTTCCTGATTGAAAGCTGATGATGTCGTAGCGATTTTACTTGTGGTCTTGCTAAATGAAAAACACACACTGCCCTTACCAAGTTCTGGGGTATCTTTTGAACTGTAAAATATTTTTAAAGACTTATCACAACATCTAAAAAAATGTTACGAATTTTGTATTATCTAAGAACAGCTATAAAAATATTTTAAGATACAGCCTTCATTATAACAGACCTTTTTTCTGGTGGTGGGTCATAAGGAAGCAAGATACCATTTAAATCTTCAACAATGCTCTGTGAATACAATATATTGAATTTGTTAAAATTGATAAATTTAATTTTTATAACTAACAGAATTCAAAAGGCAAATGAAATTCTTATTTAAACACTCAATTAAATGTATATAGGATATAAAGGCTTCATGTCAACTTGTTCAAATAATTCAATCCCAGAAACAGGTTTCTCAAGTCCATATTCAATTAAATATTTTATTGACAAAGTATTTGATTACCTTTTAGGAAATGAATAGATCACTATTTTAACAGGCATAATGTCTCAACTGCCTATTAACAAGGAATGCTAAATTTGGTAAATGCTAAATTTGGTAATCTACCACTTCAGCTTGGGTTATAAAAAAATCTTTTTCCAGTTTGTGCTTTTCTTAAACTTATCCGCATTTAAATTTAACACTATCCAACCACACCTTATGATTAAAAAATGTTCCTCGTTATGTGTAAATTCAATATTCAAGCTTGGATACTGAATTTTTTAACAACTCGCCCACAATATGTCAAGGTAAATGACCAATTATCTCTAACCAGAGAAAAAAGCACAGGGGCGCCACAAGGTTGCGTTCTCTCTCCTGTCCCTGTATACAATATATACCAATAATATTCAGAGCTCAAGCGACACCACTCGAATCATAAAATTTGCTGATGATACCATTATCGTTGGTTTAATATCTGAGGGAGAAGGCTTAGTTACAAGCTTTATCTATTGGTACAATGAAATTTTTTTCCAGCAGAATGCAGACCTGTTTACCCCCAAACTCCTAAAATCGTACAATCGTACAATATCGTGTCATAATCGTACAATGCAGTATTTTGATAGTAAATAAATAAAAATACAGTATATATAATGTATACAATAAATACTCCTATTGCATGTTCAGTGGAATCGAGTTAAGCTGGCGTCAAAATATAGAACTGAAGGTTAACGGTAGATGACTGACGTTAACCGCAAACGGCGGCCACTTTGTTTTGCAGACGTGTATCGGCTAGTACAATATATTAATTAATATTTGGGTTAACATGCTGATCACATTATCCCAGTCTGTCACAGGTAAAAATAAAGTCACCGGTGAAATTTAACGTTGTTCAAACTTGACGTCAGGTGGGCATAAAATAAAATGTATTAAAATAAGAATTAATTACCCGGTAACGAATTGGGACCCCCCCCCCACCCCTTTTTGTGTGTATGGTACAGTGAGCTTTAAAACACCAGCCCAGCCCCCCCCTCCCCCATAAACTTAACAAAATCCATTGTATATTATGATGTTACAGTCAACAAAATGTGACACGGGTTTTTACCACTGGTGATTCGGCCAGCCCAGTGGTTCCCAGAATAAACGCCACATCGCCCTGGGTGCTCGTTGCCCTCGGGCAAGGGGGTGACTGCGGCTTCCTCATCGGGGCGTTGCGAAATATTTTTAAAAATTCATTATTTTATTTTCACTTTTAATATACACGTTATATTTATTTTTATCCAACCCTTATTTTATTTGTGTATTCGCTATTTCGAATTGTACATGTTAGAATTCGACACAGGGAGCCTGGTGAAAACGTAGTGTGGCAAAGGCGCAGGGAAACGAAAATTTTAGAACCACTGGCGTAGCCCACCGAATTATATGTAGCACGTGGCCTTACCATTCGGTGGACTAAAGATTACTGTAATTTCTCTACTACTGAGTTTAGGAATAGCCAGCGAGATCATTTTTGAAAATACATCTTGACAACATCACGACGGTAATTCATGCAAACATTGTCTGGTATTTTACAGCATTCGAGATCTAAATGTGCTATTTTAAGACTTTCAGAGTTTCGGGATGAATAGTGTAGTATTTTTAAATACCGCATTTACTTTCTGCCGAGGAATATCCCCCCCCCCCTCCCTGACATTACGAAAATGTATGTGACGGAGTTGTTTGTATAGATTTAAACATTTAGACCCGCACCATACACACTATCTCCTAAATCCACACCACTCATTTTGCCTCTGATTGCTACTAACTAACACACATATTCTGGCGAGGGTCTGAGATTACTCTCTTGTGACCCCGGCTAGTAAATTGGCTATCAACTCCATCTGTTGAGCTGAGCCATACAACATTTCCCTCACAAAGGATCCTCCAACCGCCCTGGCTTCCCACTTGTCAACGTAAAACAAAGGACCATCTAACTATTACGTTTATATACGCACTGAGGATGCTATGACAGATTTGATGAGGGGTCAATAGAGTGCACCTACATTTAAGCATACAATAATTATCCCGACAGTCTCTTATAGAGCCAACTGTCATCTGAAAATCTGTGAAATCCGTGAATTCTAATAAGGCCTTTTATTATTATTATTATTAAAGTTATAAGAAATACTACAATATTTCGCAGTAAGCATATTCATATAGGCCTACTCATATACGCTACTAATGCTTTGTGTTTTCATAAAGAGATCCCTGTAGTTGTAACATTGAACATGACATAGAGATAACACACTGTAGTGCAGTTATTCGTCTTTCCGTGCTAGTGACGTAATTATTTCCACCGGGCAGAACCCCCCCCCTCCCCCCCCCCTCATTACTGGGGAAAAAATTGAGCCGTCGTTTGATTTTTTTTTCCGTTTAAAAAGGGGTGGTGGTGGGGGGCAGTATTAGTAGTGATACCAAACTGTGGTATTACGATCGCTGAGGGTAAAGAGCTGCTTTGCCAGTTCTACCAATATTTTTTTAAATGCCGCTGACTAGCTCTGATAAAATACGTCCACATCCAACGTTCCAGTGCAGTAACAGTGGGATCATGTATTTTATTTTAAAACCATATCGTCTCTAGTTTTCCCCATTTTCACAATCGCCGCGGTTCAAGGGAACAAAACTACGTCACACGCTGTGTAGCAGTCAAAGGGGATGGCAGTGAATAGTATAAATATTACCGGTGACGCAGCTAACTAGGTCAGTGTGACACACAAAGCAACACTATGACAATCATCGCCATCAATACGATACTTTGCGGTGATATTTTTATAACCTTTGGCACTCCGACCAACCCCCCACCCATGCGTCCCGTATGCCGCAAATCTCCTTCATTAACAGCCCCCACCTCCCCTCTCAGTGTGCACATAATACAATGAAGGATGGTCCCAAATTTTAAAAAAATTACAACCAATCGTTTTTCTCGTTCCATTCACCAGTAGATTTTTATTGGAAAAGGCTAAAACTTCAACAAACGAATTTTAATCGGAAAATATTTTTTTTTTCACCGGCTCTCTGAAAATCGTAGTTTTGGCGGGTCTCGGCGTACAATCGTAAAAGACATCTCAAAATCGTACATTGTACGCCAAAATCGTAAGAGTAAACAGGTCTGAGAATGTCTCAAAAACAAAGGAAAGGGTTGTTGATTTCCGGAGGGGGAAACACCAGATAGCAGATCTCAACATAAAAAATCAAAGTGTATAGAAAGTAGAGGCAAATAAGTACCATTAATAATAAGCTAACATGGCATGAGCAGGGCCAAATGCTGTATAAAAAATTCAACCAAAGACTTTTCTACCTTAAAAAACTGTACAATTTCGTTAACTTATTCTATAATGCAACAATTGGAAGCCTACTTAATTTCAGTATTACCTGCTGGTGTTGGAATTCATCGTCTCATATTAAACACAGAATAAACTGACTACTCCAGAAAGCTAGGAATATAATGCAAATTAAACATCTTTCACTTGAAGAACTATTTCAAGAAAGATGTTATTGTAAAACTAAACAAATTTTGGATGATACGTCCCACCCTCTTCATCACAGATACTTAGGATCTGCCCGTTCGGGATGAATTTTTTCTCTCATAACAAAGACTGAAAGATATAAAAATTCTTTTGCTCCCCAATCTGTACGAATTTACCAGCCTGCTCCCCCAGAAGTCACAAATCTAAATGAGAACTAATAAGTCCCGATATGACTAAGAGAATTCACTGAATGGCTGTGTTTTTCTCTAGTGAAATAATTTAATGTAGATGTCTTGTGTTCAAATTGTTTTATTTGTTTGCTGAAATGTATATTACAATGCAATAAAAAAAACTTTCCATTTATTTGGATCAATAAAAGAATCTTATCTTAAGTGCTATTTAAACAATTGTTCTAGGCTCTGTTTCTCATTAAAGTGCCAGACCAATGTGCGATCAGACTACAGGAGTGCATAGAGAGATATATCCTTCCACGCTCACTTATTGTATCAGACAGATGGGCTGCTTAAACCAAAACAAACACGGAATCTATGAATACTCCAACTCTGTTGTTGTTCGTCAAAAAAAATTATTAATCCAAAATGACGCTGGTGTCTATGGTGTCTATACACTGACTGTTGAAAATATGTGGATGCATGCAAAGCGTAAACTGGATTGACAATTAGGCACAAGGCTCACCTCAATCTTTCCCTTTCCCTTCATATTTGCATGAGTTCGTGTCCCGCATTTGTTTGTTTGAAGCTGATATAAGCTCAAACTCTGGTTTTCTTTTCATACATTAAATTGTTTGAATTTTTCTATTTTAAAAATTGTATATTTTTTATGTGTTGACATGAATATGTAAAATGTAACAAAGAATATTTCCATTTTTTTGGATGAATAAAAGAATTTTAACTTATCAATGAACAATAACCATTTAAATAGCACTACAAAATATGATTTTTTTTGTATAACCGATGCTAAAGTGGTAATCACCCTAAATTTTTAGGGAGAGGGAACATTAATTATACATTTTTGAAAAAATAAAAAAAATGAAAACAACCATTAATTACTTACTTTGAACAAATCATATGAGCAATTTAATTGAAAAGATGTTCCAAACTAAAGGAACTTATTTATTATGTTAGAGCTTATTATTTATTTTACTTGTTACTGTTAAAAAGACAATATTAGTTTAGACATGTTTGTTTATAGTAATTGATTACATGTTGATGAAGCATTGCAGATGGAAGTGTTTAAACTTAGTTATTGTACAGTTTACTCATAAAGGTTATCTGTACTATATTTTGATGAATCATGTATGAAGAATAGACATGCAAAATAAATTATAAACCATATGGGGTAATAATGGCCTTATTTTGAAAATTTCATCATGTATTGTGATGTATTATGGATAATATAGTAGAAAATAAGTATTTATGATGGCCCTGTATTTAACATACCTATGCAAAATTGTTAGTTTAATGTGTTGCATATTTTAATGGTTTTATAAAATTACTGAAACTTGGGAGGACAAATTAAGAACATTAAAATTAATTCTCAGTTTTATGAATTCAAAATTAACTTACAGTATCCTCTGTCAAACTGTCAGTTACTTGAAGTTTTGGACTACCAGGTGGTAAAGGAACATCTTCAGTTTTAATTGGAGGGGGGATTTTTATTTCAGACATGTCCAGCTGTTGATAGATCAGAGTTTAAAGATGTTCATTTATTTTAATTTTATACTCTATCAGGTTTTTTTTATTCTAGAATTTTGCATGATAATATTAAATATTGTTGCATGTTCAAGTTTTTCTTTTTTTAACCAACCTTATCTGGGAGAGGAATCACAGCCAAGTCATCGGAAATGGGCAATGTTTTAGCCTCTAACTGAGATACTTCAGGACTAGGACTGGCATCCGATGTCTGGGGCATTAGATTTGGTGAGACTGGGAGTTCCTTTTTAGTTTCCTTGCTTTGCGGAGCTTGATCAAGATTCTATTCAAATAACGAAAATATGCACTAAAATAATTATTTATGCACATTTTTAGTAAAAAATGACATTTTATCTAATTACTTTTTAATATAAAACACTTAACAATTCATGAAGATTATATTTTTTAACAGGGTTACACTATTAAGCAAAAAGCCAATTGATTAATTGAGCTTACTAGATATGCTGATGCTGACTGCACTATTTATTATTTAATTTTATTGTGCTTTGAATAATAACCATTTGTGACTTATTATAATTATTTATTATCATTATTTTAAAATTAATCATAACTTTTTTCATTTTTTCAATGGAGAGTAAGTGGAAATAATTATTATTATTATGATGAGGTAAAGAAACGAGAGGCATCCTGATTGCTCCTTGCACCTGCATTAGGGGATATGAATCGCTTATCATCATTATGAAAAATATTGCAAACAAATGGCTGGTGTCATCTATGTGTCAAAGAAGCAACCAGCCCATATGTCACTGTCATTGGCATTAAAAAAGGGTTCTACAATTATTGAACACTGAGAAATATACATTAATATATATATATATAAATTTTTTTTTTTAAGTCTAAAAAAAATTTGCCCCAACAATTTTCTATTGCTCTATACCTCAGAAAGTGCTGTTGTGTCTATAGTAGCAATGGAATCTGTAGTCTTTGAAACAGAACTGAGTTTTGCAGCTAATGACCTAGTAGTTGAACGAGTGAGAGTCTTCACAGTTGTGGTGGGTGCCTTGATGGTTATCTTAGGCTCAGTTTTTGCAGGCATCTGGTGAACAAGAGTTAACAATAGTATTTGGAGCTTACAGTTAACTTTAATTATCAGGAAAAATAAGAACAAAGCACATCAGGTTTGAAAATTATGAGAATCTTATTTTTTAAATATAAATTAAGCCACATATTTCAAGCCTTTAACGAGAAGCAAATTATGTTACTCAAAGCATCCATCATTTATAGGAAATACCAAAAACCAAATGACCATGAAGCTCCATTAAAAATCCTAGGGGTGATATTTCCTATCTAACATTGTAACATTTCAAAATTAAAGAACTCCATTTTTTCCTACTCAAACTTTGTGATTTTCCACAAACCTTCACTGTAGTAGATTTGGCATGGTGGGCTTTAGCTTTCAAAAGTGCCTCTTTAGCTACTGAAGTTGCTGAATAAGCTGAGGTCACTGATGACAGTTCACTAGGGAGGGTTGTTGCACTCATTGATACCTTAACTGGGCTCATGTTATTCCCTTTATCCAGTGGGCTTGACGTTGTACTGGAAGAGCTTGAAGAATCTCGTCTTGATGGGCTGCTGTGAGCAGTGTCCTGTAGTAAATAACTCAATTAATGTTCACATCCCCAGAGCAATATCATGGTTGCAGATTCAAGCTCTTATGACTTTTACAGACCTGTTTACTCTTACGATTTTGGCGTACACTGTACGATTTTGAGGTGTATAGATTATATATACGCATGTTTATTTTTTTTACAATTAAGATAATATATTGAACAATTTTGTGATGATATTGTACGATTTTAAGAGTTTGGGGGTAAACAGGTCTGCTTTTATTAATTAACCCTTTACAGGGCAGAGCGGCCAAAAAAGTCTTTACTTCTTAAAGGGCCAAACGCCCAAAAGCGCCCGTGACCAACTAAGAGTTGTAAACATACAATCTCCAAGTCTTTGCGAGACTTCAGATTGTTTATATCCGGTTTTTCCAATAGCTGGATAGAATGGGCACCAGTTACAAGTATTTAATCAATTTTTTGGGTAGTTATCAGGGTTTTAATGTTTTTTTCTTTTCAAAATGGATTTTGCCAATTATTCAAGTGATAGTGGAGATTTCACTGGATTCAATTTAAGTGACATTGAAGTGCACGAATTGACTGTAAATTGGAACTAGATATTAATATTGTTAGTAGTATTAGTGAAATTAGCGTAGTAGGCAGTGTTGAATAGTACACACTTCAATTTCGTGGCAGTGTTTGTAAATAGTAAATAGATGACTCACAATCACAAACAATATGTTGTTTTTTGCAAATATTTGTGTTCATATGAGGATTAATGGCAACATGTGAGTAAAATAAAAAATCTGCATTCAATTTCCTTTATTTTGCTTTTTATTTCACAAAAATTTGTTTTGCTTTTTATTTCACAAAAATTTGTTTACTAACACCTTAGATTTGATGTTTTTAGTAACGTAACCCTAAATCCTACTAAAAACCGGAAAAATGTTGCCCATTCAGAACTAGCAAGAGGAAGAACGTCTGCCCCGTGAAGGGTTAATTGTGGGATACATTGTCTGATTATATTGCAAGTAAATTTTTTCTTTTTAAATTGTGAAATGAAAAAAGAAAAACATTTTAGTACTTACCAGAATAGAAGATGCATCACCTCCACTTTGTGTGCCTTTGGCTGCAGAGGATTCTTTCTTCTGACTTCCCTGGTTGCCAGCTTTTCCTGTTGGAAGGTGGAATGAAGACATTAGTTAATAGAGTTGTTATTGCTAGTTATTAACTTGAGCTCACAAGCTCTGACATGAGGCCTCAAATCCCTGCAATAGCTGGTATTCAAGGCTTCATAACTGTACCTGAAGTAGATGAATCCAACTTTCCAGGAACAAAATTTTAAGTCTTGTCAAGGCATTTTTAATATACTGTAGAAGTTTATCTTTCAACAATATACATAAACATACGACATGATATGTTCACTGTTATCATCAAATTCACCTCAAAAACAAATTGGTCATTTTAAATTAAGTAGAATGTAAGGCAGTGGCAGAAAAAGGTAAAATAACTTTTTTTTTTTTTAAATTTTTTTTTTGTATATTAAATGTTGTAATGTAAATGGTTGTATGGCACCAGTACTATACTCCATTTTGTTTTCTTAAAAATAAGTATTATAAGACATCACCATCATAATGCAAAGACATGCACATACATGATATTATTTGCATCAGAAGTATCTACTATCTGCTTGTGTTTATATTTTGCCCAAAAATATAAAATAATATTGATAATAGATGAATTAATATAAGCTAACATTACAGACCAAAGCTGTGGAACCAGAAATATTTGCACCTCTTTATGATTCAAGAGTATCTGAGTGTTTACAGCAGTATTGAATGTATAATGGCATGTTATTTAGCTACAAGTTAGTAACTTTCAGTTATTACTTGAAGACTCAGAAGAAGGTCCTAGTGAATTAAATACTTGAAAGGTATAGTGATGCAAATACTATAATTTAAAAAAAAAAGGCTTTTCAGCCTACAGAGAAATTAAAGACACTGTCATTAAATGAATGGCTGGTGGTGCAACAGATTATTTTTTTAATAGCTGAATTTTTAAACAACAAAAAAAAAAAAAACTGATAAAGCAAACTACAAAAATAAAAAAATAAAATTTAAAAAAAAAAGGTTTTTAAGCCAACAAAAAAATTAAAAACACTGCCATAAAAGAAAGGGCGGGTGGTCCAACAATTTATTTTTTAAAAAGCGAAATTTTAAAACAAAAAAAAAAAAAAAACTGATAAAGCAAGCTACAATAACAATTGTGTGCAGGGAAACTAGTGCTTGTTTTAAAGGAGGGTGGGGGAAAAACCCACACCATATTGGTATAATCAGGCTAGCAAGAAAAACGTAAGTTCAAAGTTGAGCTAATGACATCTTTTCTAATGATAAAATTGAAGCTCATTAAAAAGAAGTGTTATGACTTGAATAAACTTTAGGCAAGCAGGTTTTTTATCATAAGGACAAACATACTGAAATAAAAGAAACTATGACTATTACTTGATAGAGACTTTAAGAGTGAAGAACATCCCTTATTATTAACCATGTGGCTGATCAAAATTCTTTTTTTGTTTTAAACAATAAAGACTTTATCTCACAAACAATTCATTTTACGATCTTTCTATTAGTATCAGGCTTACACAATGATCAGAAGCAGCTGTTTGAACATACTAATAAATAATGATTAAATTAACTATACAGCTTGTTTCAACAATTTTATGCAATAATGATCTATCATTAACCAGTCTTAAATTTTCAAGGACCATCTCAATGTGACCAACATAGGGGGCAATAACAACCTGCTGTCTTCTGCAAGATAAACCCCACTGTTTTTTTAATTAGTTTTTTGCTTAGCCATGGAAGATAAAAGTTGACCTGGGATAGAGCATCTGCAACTTATAGGATTTGGATAACTGCACTTCAAGTAAATGGGAGAAACTGTCTCAAGAGTTGACTTACAAGGATGTTACAAATGGAGAAAAAGTGTGCAGGCTGTTAATGACTGCCACACTGAAAACTTCATCCAAAATTTAATAACAATTAGATTTTTAATTATTAAAGAATAAAATTATAGAAATATGATTTTCTGGGTAGAACGTTTTCAAACAGCTTCTATGACCATGGCATCAGTAGGAATGGCAATCGCTTAAAAAAATAACAGATTTATTTTTTAATGATTTCTTTAGCTGCAATGTTTCTGGCATTTGAAATATGGACACTTAAAAAGCAGAACTTATCTCACCATAAAAATGCTTTGATATTTTGTTAAATGATCATGACATACAGCTGATTAAAATGATTATGTAGAGCTGCCAGGAGAAAACAAAGTACAAACATGCAGGTGATATGACAAATTTTCAAGTAATAGTGTCATGAGACCTCTATGATTTCTATTTAGTTATTTCAATTACAAGGGATGTGCATACTAAATTATCTTAAATAAATTATATCCTTATAAGAGTACTAAGAAAATATGTCAAAATCTAATTCAGGATAAATTCAAATGAAGTCAGTTACATTTTTTGTGATACAAAAACTAAATCAGTCTTGAAAACTTATTGGAAATAAGATTATTCTATTTGTTTGAATAACTAACATAACAAAGCGATGCAAAACTTGATATACAACCAAATTAAACCGGTTTTAAAAGAAATCTTTGATATAAGATTATGATGCCTCCTTTCGGCCGAAACAACAATAAAATGAGAGATAATTATGTTTTTGGACAATGAATTTATGAAAGTCATATTTCATCCTACTATTGTCTGCATTATAGAATTTTGAGAAATTTATTAAAATTTATTTATTTATCTAGCACTAAGCAATATTTCTGAGACACAAAGAGATGGGGGTTTAATGAAAAAATAACTGCACCACCTGGCCATCCAGACTTTAATTATCTTTATTATGGGTTCATCTAATCTTATTGTGGATGAGAAATTAAAGTGATCGTTTGAACAAAAGGCATTTGACTTGCAGTGTTGATTTACCATTACAACACGAGAATAGTGTTGGTTAGTAAGAAAATATTCCAGATATGAATACAGGGGAGAAAATAAATTGCAATCAGTTTTTCTGCTTTTTTTTTTCCTTTTATGATAGGCAACATGCACAAAAGAAAGTAAATAAACAGTGTATATTTTGATACAACAAACTCAAACTATGAAACGCACACATCTATGTAAACTACGAGCAACTAATAATATTTAAATATATTTATAAATTTAGGCACTATGTATAGTCTCTGCTATCAAACATGAGAGAAGTGGGGAAATGTGAAGTCTTTATTTGTGGAATGGATATGCTATCTCAACATTTCTTGCAAATATTTTATCTAGTTTCATTAAAACTAAAGGTGTCTTATTATTAATCCACCAATATTTTTGGGGTTATTCACGGCATCAAGTAAAAAAGTATATACTCCAGGTTTTAAAAATAAACTAGGTTGACAGTTTAAAGTAAAGGATAAGGAGCCAAATAAATATTTCAAATTGGGTTCGACATTATGAAAGGGTTTGGAAACACTGACATTAATTTGAAGCAAAGCAGTCATCGATATTTATTGGGCCCAAACAATCACAACTGCCCCTCAAAAAGGCCACAACAGAAATGGCTTGTGGGCAATTAAAATGTGTGCATTGTTTTTGGACCATTCCATGAATACAACATAGACTGTAAGTGAAGAGCAAGATGAGTGTGTGGAATGGCAAGAATGACAGATACAATACAGACATTTTATAACTTAGCCACATGTAACAATATCCAGCTCTCCAGTTAAAATTTGGCTTTTAAAGAGTGCCGATTTGCAATTAGCATGCAAAACATTGTTAAATGACAGGGTGCAAAAAGCAACTGTGTCCCATTAATCTTTTTTAATGCAAAAAGACAAATCTATCCCAAGAAAAACCATAACCGAAATAATGATTCTCAAAGATTCTTATCTGTTTATCTTTTGCACATAAAGCTTAGTATCAAATCTGTTAATTATAACCTTTCTAAAATCTTTAACAAATATGTTATGGTCAACTATGAACACATAAAAACAAAATCTATTTTGGAAAGTGATGTGAAAACATTGTATTTAATTTCTGCCAAAATATAGAAACTAAATTTTATAAGTGAAGTGGGACAGATTTTTAGAAATCTAATTATATCAGACAAATGAGAAGTGTAAATATGAAATATTGCATTTAGCATAGGATTTTTTTCTGCTAAAATGATTGTGAAATAAATGAATGGATAAGTGAACTTTAAGTCAGCAAAATTCACATTGACATAACTATTGTTATAGCTCCCCAACTCTATTTGACAATGTTAGAGACAACACTAGGCTACAATAATTTATATTAGCACATAGCAGGCCCAAAACAGAAAAAAAATTCACTTTATTATTTAATGGTTGATATGTATTAATTCAACTCCTTTAAAAAAATTGATGAGGCTTTTTTTTTTTATAAAACATAAATACATAATTATTTTGATAAAATTCATTGCATAATTTTGTATTCCATAACAGAAATAATATACTTGAAGTTTAACTAATGAAGGTGCCCACAATTATATTTATTGAAAGGAAAGTGACTAAGATTATACTACTGCCAATAATTTAAATATTAGTAATTGGTATTACAAAATTAGCCTTCTAATTAATACCAATAATTCATTTTTTTTTCCTTAAAAAAAATTATATTATGGTTTTATTTGAATTTATTTCATATCAGCATTTAAAAATTTGAATTTTGTTACCTATGTTTTATTTTAATTATCTTTAAAAATATTAATAATAGCAAGGCCTTTTTTTTTTTTTTTTTTTTTTAAAGCCCTACCACCTTCTGAAGATGTATTCAAGGCATAAAAAAATGTATAAGTTACTCAGGCAAATTGTGAAAGATCACACATCATGCTTTCAAGTTGTTACATAAAGTGTAGTAAGCTAATGTATATTCACCTTATGTTTTAACAGTGTTGAAATCATCCTGCAAATTAGCACTTTATAAAGCACCAAAAAATATGTGTATGTGATAACTTGAAGTGTGCACTTAATTACAAAATTTGGTTCCTTGTAAGACTTACTTTCTTTCAAAATTTTCTGCAGAACATTATTGTGAAAAAAAAAATTTAAATATATTTCAGTCTCTTTTGCGTTTCTTATTACTTTTAACTAATATTAAATGTTAAAAGATTTCAAAATCATACCTAGATTTATATAACAGAACCAGTAAGCTAAATTTTATGCCATTATGTTGCATTCTTAATATATTGTTTTGGTTATAACTTGATAACTTTTTAATGTAAATACAGGTCACTATGGAAATTACAACAGTGTAAGCTAAAAATGTGAATTTAAAAAAAAAAAAAACTTAATAATGTAAATGTTATTTCCCAGGTTAAACGGTTCCAACAAGTAATACACAACAGAAGAAAACATAAAAAAGACAACGCATTTACATCATTAGTACAAGACCTGCCACTAACAAAGCTGGTTATAGGTTACAAATTCTTGAAATGCTACCATGCACTGAGTTGCTTACAGAGAGCCAGCAATCAGATTTAGAAATAGGAAAAGACTGTCCCCATTTCAAAAAAAAAAAGTTCAGCAACTATGTGGCAGATTGAAATTAAAAATGTGCGGAAAGACAAAGAAAAATTACAGTTTCTGAAAGCTGCATTTTGTTTCTACAATGAGTGATTTGGATAAGCATGGAAATGAAACCAAAAAAACTTATAATAAACTCCGAGAGAATATAGAAACATTGAGATCTCACAACTTAGGAAATTTAACAGCAGACGCTCCGTGACTACATAAACTCCAGATACCAACACAGCAAACTACCATCTCACCAACTACACTAAAAAGAAGCATGGGGAACTGTTAGCAAAAAGTTAGAATCGAGGTAAGATTTATAAAATAACCGAGTTCAGACTAACAGTTAGAATCGAGGTAAGATTTATACAATAACCGAAGTTCAGCCTAACAGAAAATATTCTTTATTTAATCTTACAAAGCCAAAGCATTAATCTTTTTAAATGGCATATTTTATGCACAAAAAATGTGTATTTAATACGGCATTTTACAGAAAATATAAGTAAAATGCAACATTGCTTTGTTAAAAAAATTTATTTAAAAAACATCAATTTTTAAGTATATTTTTGGTCTTTATGTTAGATTAGAAAATCATCATGGGGGTGATTTATTTTAAATAAGCTAATATTTATCAAAATTTTAAAAGTTAAAATTACACTGATCTGATTTGAATCAACGTTTACAAATGTGAGATTTCAATTTCATTTTTTTTTTTTTTATTTTTTTTTTAAGTTAGCAGCATTCACGACAGGAAACATTTTTTGCCCACAAAAGAGGAACTGAATTTTTAGTAAAACTTTTGAAACAGAAAATGACATTCTTGTAACCATGTAGAGACTTAATCAGGAAAATAACAAAGAAATAAAATAAAACTTAAATACATAAGAGTCTTCCAATACCATTTTGGTTATGGGGACAACATTAATACCCAAGTTTTTCAAACAGGAGTGCAGCCAACACATTAGGTTATAGTATATTTATTTTTATAAATAATAATTATAGCAATCTTGTGGATAGAGGCAGGAAGAAAAATACCCTGGCAGTTTTGCAACTTAGTATTTATAATCGGACAGTGTACTCGGTTGTTTGCAAGGGCAACGTTAAGTGTTGTACTTTGCTTTGATTAGTTTTTAAAAGTATTTAGACTTCAAGAAATTGCCTTATTCAACTAGAAGGTAAATAATGATCTATTGAGGGTAACTAAATTAATTAAAATAAAATATTCATTTTTTTATAATTATTTTAAAGCTTCAACAGATTACACTATCTTTTTACTATAGAATCTTGCAAAACAATTTTGTCTTTGGGTTCCTATAGTTTGTTTACAATGAAAAATCTCTAATAAACATTCGAACAAAGTTGTTTTTTTTTAATTCACAATATTTACTATATGAGTAACAATTTAACCATGTAAAATATTTATTGAACGCAGAAGATGAGTTATTTTTACGATTTACCATAATAATATAATAAATATATTGTTGTTTTTTTTTAAACATCTCTGATGAATTTAAATCCGAAAAACACAAGAACCCAAAACAAAGTGCAAGTTTACACTATATATAAATAATTGAAGTGTATTATGAAAAGTTGAGTGGCAGTTATGCAAGATCTTTTTTTTTAAATATGTTGAGAAATATACAGACATTTGAATGATAAGTTTAAATGTGAAAATGTGGGGATGCCATTACTGTTAGGACAACCAATGACACAACAAAAAAAAAAATAAAAAGCAAGAACACTAATAACTGCAGATGCGTTAAAATGAATGGAAAAGAAAAATTGTAGAAAAATCTACAACTCCTGGGTACCTCAAGGACCACCTATAGAAAACATCAAAATATGAATCAAGAATTGTTTTATATACCAGGAAATAAATATCTGTCATAAATCAAAGTTAATGAAAAAATATATAATCAAATCATGCCTACAAATTCTAAAATTTCAAGTAAAGAAAAATATGGATTTTTTTTTTAAATGGGGGGGGGGAGGAAAAATCCATTCAACAAACATTTACATTGTTTACAATAAATCCTAATTTTATCATTTATTTATGAAATGTACAAATTAACAAATTGCTCACATGTTGCGATACACGTTTAAAGATAAGATTATAATTATAAACTAATGGCAATAAATGTTTTTCCTCCTCTGCAAAATATAGCTTGATTAAAACTTAATTTCCTTTATTAAAAAAAAATAAAAAAATAACAGTCAGTAATTCAAGATAGGTAATACAATTTACTTTTTAAAGTCTAAAATATAACTGCAAACTGGTATTTGACAAAATATTTTCATTAATTATTATTACTAAAAACAAAATACTCAATTTATAGAAAACAATATATTATATTACTCCATTGAATAAAACCACTTCAGCCTACTGTGCAGAGTAACTCACCTGAATTATTATTTCCTTAGACATTTTACATTATTTTACATTATTTATTGCTTGATTTAACACTTGCTTTCTTTTTTAAATTTGCTTAAGAAGATACAAAAGAATAAAAAAATACAATTCTTTCAGCATTGCTTGTACAATACTCTAATTGTAAAAAGTAATATAGATTTAGCTATGTTGCTCTAAACTATAACTTTGCAAAGCTGTGTAAATCCAATCTTCTTACAGTGATTTGTGCAAAAAATATATTTTAGGTTGCATTTTTTAAAATAAGTTATTATTGCCTCATTATTTATTCACTTTATTAATAACTAAGGCTAATAGATAAATGCAAAAACAGTAATGACCCCAAAAAATTGTTAGTGCCATTAACAGGAAATGATAATCAAGGACCAAAAGTATGTTAAATAAGGGGACTTTTCATATAAAAAAAAAAAAAGAAATGAGCAAAGAAATAATTTAAAATTGAAGAAAAAAATGAGGACATCTAATGGTAAAGATTAAGATACTATTGATTTAGTATCAGCCAATAATCCAAACAACATCCACAAAGATTCTTTTTGTTTCATTCTTTTTTATTCATTTTTTGTGCAAAAGATCATGTATTTAGTTGTGCCTAATAAAATAAACCTAAGTAAAAACGACTTGTTGTTGAAGCACTTTTGTGAAGCTGAGTTGCAAATGTTGCTTCGCAAACAAATGATATTAAAATATGTGCCTATAAAGACTTGCTAAAGGCATGCAAGCCAAACTTATTCCACACAAAAAAAAAGATATACTTTTTAAAAATACATATCACAACCAGGAACACAGCATGGGATTTCCATGACCTTTTGCAGTGGTTTAATATTTGATTTGTTTAAGGGGGGACACTCAACCTTGTCAGAACAACAGGCACACCCCCAGTCTCATGCACAGAGAAGCAAATATTTAGTGTTTTAAGAAAAACATAATTTGCAATTCAGATTTTAAGAAATCAATATTGTTCTTTTTTACTTTCAGCTTTATACATACTTATTTTTGTAAAACCTCTTTAATAAAATTAACGTCCTTTTCTAATTTGACATAAAAAGAAGATTTGATTTAAGATTTATGTCTGATTTGTTTATTTCATTTAAGAAAAGGTAAATAAGCGTGCAACAGCAACTAACTGCAACTAGTCACCAATTCACTCCAGTAGGTGAATATAATATTATAACGGGAAAAAAATATGAAAATTAAACTGAAGGTAAAATTGGCAATAGAACGTTACAGCAAAGTCAACTCTGAGTACAGTAAAGTTTAGACACAAACAGATTTCTTCTTACAATTTTAATTAGATTTTGAGCAACTACAGAAATCAAATTATGCTTTTTATTTTTTTTAAATATGCATTAAGTTATTTGTACACATATTTTAATTTTCAAACTTAAAATTCAACTTTACAAAGGGAGGTTGTTTTTCAAAATAAAACAGTAAAAATAAAACAAAAAGTCTATGGCACGCTTTAAGTACAATTATATTATTACCAGTTAAACAAATTTTCCATTAACCACTAATTGTCTCTTGGAAAGATTTTAATATTTAAATCTAAGATCCCAAAAGTATTTTATCCACTGCAAACCTACCAATGAAGTTTATATTTTAGCATATGATCCTTAAAAGATAATTAGCTGAGCAATTTAAAAGCGATTTTTAAAAAGTGCAAAAAGTCTGGCGATTTTCTTCTTAATATCTTTCTGTACTTTATTTGGGGCTTGTGAGAAAAAGAATAATATCTAAGAAAAGGAGAAAGCAGGCCCTAATACAACTATATAAACAATTAATAAGGTTTTAAAGCATGCAAAAGCGTCAACCATGAGACAGGGTTATAATAATGGATATTCTGGATTAAGATTAATTTCTAAGTCTCATTTTTAAATGTAGTATTATTAACAATATTAACAAAAGTGGAAAAAATGGTACAAAGGATGCAGGAACTAATACTGTAGTGTGTATTGAGAGGGGATAGAAGAGATGACCATGATGAAATGCAATCTAAGAAATGTTTAGTTAAATTAAAAATGTATGTTATTAATTTTTATCAAATTTAACTGCAAAAATCCTAAGATATATTACACAAGTGTCTTCAAAATATACACACTTTTACCATATAGTGTTCTTTTAAATACAAAAACTCAATTCTGTTTGAAATAAAAAGTTACAAAAACTAAATTTTTAAACACATGAAAGAATTAGCCTCTAATAAAGACATTAAGAATTAGGAAAGCAAAAAAAAAAAAAAATAACAAGAAAGTTACTGATCCCAAAAATATTTTTAAATAGTTGCATGCACACCAAAATGGCGGCATGATTTGACAAAGATTTTGGTAAATAAAAAGTTACAAAAACTAAATTTTTAAACACATGAAAAAATTAGCCTCTAAAAAAGAAATTAAGAATTAGGAAAGCAAAAAAAAAAAAAATAACAAGAAAGTTACTGATCCCAAAAATATTTTTAAATAGTTGCATGCACACCAAAATGGCGGCATGATTTGACAAAGATTTTGGCAAACAGCAATGACCTTTAAACAGTTTTCAAGTGGTAATGACAGGCTATATTATATATCTCTTACTTCAACAGCACCACAAATAAAATAATTACTTTTTGACCAATGCTCTACTGCGGTAAAGTGTTTTCAACCAAAATTAACATCTTACCTGCTATGAATCTATAAATCATTTATCTGCGCCTAAAATTTCCTATGCCTAATCAAATTTCATTATTATTTTATGAGTAGTAATAATTAAAACAGTCAGTCACACCATTTTGTAAGATGTTGCGAATGGCTACTAAGCCAGGATCGGCTGGTGTAATACAAAAATTATGGTTGATATGAACCAATTATACTCACTAAGCAGATCCATTGAAAAGGGACAGACAGGCTTAATCCTGAAATTTTCAGCCGAGAATCAGCCATGTTAAATATCATTGTTATAACTACAGTGAGAAAACAAAGTACTTCTTGTTTGGTCTGTGCCATTTCAATACAGGTATGTAGCAGACACTGAGTCTTCTTAATGCTATTGTCAAAGAAAAAAAAAGAAAAGAAAGGAAAGAACAAAATGGGAATAATGCTACCATTTTGGAAAAAAATAATTACACCATGGTACACAAACAGTTTGCTGCTTGAATGGCATGAGAGCTCAAAGTCCTTGAAGCACAATGACAAAAACACGTTGGGTATGTGAATATCACAAAGATTCCTTCATGATTCACGCTTGTCAAGTTCCTTGAGACAGTCAATTATGTGAGTCTAATGGCAAGTGCAGAATGTGACGTGAGTTAAGTTTACTGAATACGCTGAGATTTCAATAAATTTTTATGTTGTTCTGTTATAGCAATGGCAATTATTATTATGACTAAATCCATATTAAAGAGATATATAACTATTTACTAAACAAATAGTACCTTTTTCTTTAATAGCTGCATTGGCTGCCACTGCTGCATCTCGCTTCCCACTTGGTCTCATTTTTGTGGTGATAAAAGATATGGTTAGCAGCTACAGTTCATCACTTGAGTGAAAGACCTTCACAAACTTCTCAGAACAGATGCAAATTTTCTACAAAATATGGATGCATCAAAAAACAATATCAAGTTTCAATAAAAAGAGAGTATGAATCTGTATTAAAGATTATGGATATGTAATAAATATGCTTCTCATAAATTACTGACCACAAAATATGTCAAAGAAAATGCAGTTATTTTTAAAAAACATTTTTTTATACTAAAATATATATTGACGAATAATTGTTATATTCAAAGCATTTTAAATACAAATTATTATAATTTAATACAGGAAAACATAAACTTCATGTAGACTTCTAACTGTAAAACAACATTTCACAATTCACATTTGAAATTTCAGCTTGATAATCACTGATCTTGAAAGTTTTAACTGAATGTTTCATTCACAACCTTTAAAATACTTACATAGAATATTTTGTAATTAAATAAGATTTTCTACATTGTAAACACTTGTGCAATCCTGGCTCTATTTCTGAGGAAATAAATGAGAAAAATCAAATTGTTCACCCTTAAATACAATAACACCAAGACACAAACAATTTATTCAAATAAAACAGTATACTTATGCTTTAGTTAGAGGACAAAATATACATTTAGACATTTCAGCTATTAGCTTTATCAGTAAAACAAGATCAAAAATTTTATTAAAATTACATCATACATTTGTGAAAGTGCTTTTTTTTTTTTAAAATCATCTCACCTTAATTTATCTATTAAATTTTTTTTTTAATACATCTGCAAAACCATAACTAAATCAAAAATTGTAATTAATATTTTATTTGTATATGCTTGATATCTCTGTCCCTCACTGTTATTCAGTGTGGCGTAGACAATTAATATTACAACTGTAGTCGTAGTTATTTTATCATTTTTGCCCTAGTTGAATCCTAAGGGCAATATGTTTTTTTTATGTTTATTTAACGTAAAAAAGTTAAAAACAATTACTTTTCATTTTTAAAGTGTAATTTAAACATTTTTGGAAATTTCTATTTAACAAATATTTTTTTTTACATTAATGTTAAAAAAGGTCTGTTTAACTCCCAACTATGTGTGCAACCTATCTGCGGGTTAACCGCATATAGCCAAATTGACAAACCCAAACTAAGTGTGCGACCTATTATAGGCTAGTATATATGGTACCTGTGACAGACAACTGTGTCTACAAACCTATATTGACTATGAAAAACTTAATTTATATGCTTGATAAATTTGAATGCATCAATCAGTACTACTACGTAAGTTACTTGCAAGTATCCTTACATGAAGTATCCAGTAACCACTTGTTTAATATAAATTATAACACCTCTAGTATTAATTTTTCTATTTATTGAAAGGTGTTTTTTTTAATTCCTCTGACATGCAATATAATTTCAGATTTCATTCAGTCTGATCATCACATCACATCTCGCAGAAAGTTAAGATGTGATCTACCACAATGTGAAGAACAATGCTAACAAACTCCCAGTTTATGACAGTAGCCATGTGTCTGCTACATCAGAATCATCTAAATTAATGCTGTCCAACCTTTTTTTGATTGTGGAGGCTACCAACATTTTTTCACACCAAAACATTCCAATGTAACATTTTTTAATTAAAATTATTATGCACACAAAAATGTGTATGTTATCGTTATCAGCGCTCTATAATGGTGCATCTTAGATATTTCCATCAGCACTGAACCCTCATCCTCTCCCAAAAACTGCAGATTTGTGGTACAATGAATATATCCCATGAGAATACATTTTCCTCAACAACAAAAATTGGAATAACTTTAAAACAAATTGAAAACCTGATTACAACTTTATAAGTAATAGTTTTACTTCAGCCTTGAAGTGGCTGAGCAACCTCTGTAAGGGCTGCGAAGTGTGTATTATATTGACAGTTGAATAAATCAAGCTTTGATTAAAAACACTTTGTTCCTCCATCATTCGATCAGAGTTGTTAAAGATTTAACGCAGCCACAGCCCTTGCAATTTCAAATTTTATTTGTTTGCGTAGTCTTTGTAAAAAAATGCTATTATTACAATAAATACTGGCATTTCCATATAATTTAAAAACTCTTCCTTGGATTTAATCTTGAGGAAGATATTGACTGCTTTAATTAGATCCCAGAAGGCCTACTAAAACATTTTAAGAGGTAAGAGCAGAAAGTTTTCCCAAAAATGGAATAACTTTTTAAATAGCTTGTTTATAACATAACAATGTATGTGTATATAAATATAGACGAAAGATAGGGTACATCCATAAATAAATGATTAATTAATGTCATCAAAATATTTTAGCCAAATTTGGACTAACTATCTTCCCCCACCCCCAAAAAAAACAAAAAACATAAATTTGCCACAGAATTTAGACACCTTAACAATACATTGTCCCATATCCATGACACCATTGCCCCCTAGATGCAAGATACGATTTATGGATGACACTTTGCCCTTGCCATAATAACTAAATTTGTGTACATGACAAGCAAATAATGGATAGCTTTTTTTTAGTGAATGCCAGGTTCCTACTATCACTTTGAAATGAAGACACAAAAAGCCAACTACTACTATTTTACTAGTCTAACTACTCTAACTGACCACATCAGTATAAGCTTTAATTAAGGTGGTCCATGGGTGAAAAAATTGATACTCTGGTTATTTTTTTCCAAACTGAGATTACGGTGTTTTCTGCTAGATTAACCTCTTATAAATACTTTTCTGTTAATTTTTTTTTTTTAAATGTATTTTAAAGTTGTTAAATAAGCATTTAAAAGTGGTATGGTAAGATTACATTTTCATGAAAATAAAACTGGGGAAGCCAAAGTGTGTCTTTTTAGCCCTTAGTTACGGTACATGTAGTTCGTACAGCGCTATATACACATATTTGGTATCGATAGAAAGAGAAACACAGCGGGAATGCTGTGGTTCCGTAATAAAAAATGGCAAAAAAATTTATGGCGAAGCTATTCCGTACTTTATAAACGAATTTTAAACTCCATAATTGGTCAAATATGTTAAAATTTGAACGAGATTGAATGTTTTCTACCTACATTCCACTTTTACTTCCGCTTAGGGTCTAAAAAAAATGATGTTATTTTTTCAATGAACCTATTGTCGCTAATTTTAATGAATGGACTCGAAATCGACACAAGAAATCAAAATTTAGCATTTTTGTGGATTTATGAACCATATTGTTGGTAAGTTGATAAATGCATTATCAGAAGAAATGAAAAATTACACTAAGCATTTAACATTATTTTTATTTATTATATAACTTTTGGCAGCAATGCCATGCCGTGCTAGTATCTCTAACTCTAGTCCTAGTCTAGACAAAAACATAGTCAACTGCACGTGCCCACAGTAAGAATTAAATATATTGTTTTAATAATTAATCTAAAAAATATAGCATCTCTGGTAAATTCAATTTTATTTTCTCTGCCTAACTTTATAAAATTAATTTCGTTTATGATATAAAATATAAAAGTTAAAAATTATTTTGAATGATGTTCATATCTTACTTAGACTTAGAATAAAATCCCAGAATTTTTACTTTCTATACTATAAATTAATATAGGGTAATATTTTTTTTATCATCTCTAGGTTACCTTTGGCATCTCCTTGAATCTAAAGACTGGGAAGGAAAAGTATGATACCATACAAGAGCAGTGAAGTTTGAGAATTCCATTTTCATCTCGAAGATTTATGCCAACATGCCTTTCCTAAACATGCAGCTATGCTCTCATGATCATTCTATTCAATAAGCCCCTTATTGTCAGAGAGCAATTTCACAAACATCACAACACATTTGTTGTATGTGAACATGCATTCAATTTCAAGGGGTATCACTGCCATTGCTGACTGATATCTTTAGAACATTGCTTCTCAGACCTGCAGTGTCTTACATGATCAGTATTGGACTTACAAACAAAAGAACATTGGCTACAAGGTGAGAAAACAGCCATGCTAGTTAGTATCAAAAGACTAGCAATATGTCCATGGCTTTTTTCAATAACCATAATGACGTCAGGCCAGATGCGTTCGGTAACAACAAATCTAAGACACAGTTTCTGACTGCCATTCTTTGTCAATGAGAACAAAAAAATAATGCTGTGTCCGCAGTCTACACAAAGAATCCTGAAGTAACGTACACCCTAAAGAAGTTTATGACTATAAGATGATGAATTGATACTTTGCCTTCTATGCATATTTTACTACTAAGACTAATAATAATTTATTTTAAAAATTTAGCGTCCATGGCTCGTGAATGTATAATTTGAATTGTCCAGTTTATTTCTACAGTCATCTTAGAAATTTCTTTTTAATCTTATTAAATGACATGTCTAATTATTCAATTCATCAACAGGTCAATTTACAGCCTATCTTTGAATTGACCTTGTGACTAATCTGTTTCATAGTATTTTACTTTGCGTTTTTCATTTTTATTAACGGCGTCGGGTGAGATAGGGTCAAAAGTATTATTATAGCTACATGATTACAGCTTTGCATTCTTATTTCCATTGATTCTATCTACATAAAGACAGATGGGTTTTTTTTTCTAAACTGTCCCAGTTAATTTTTCTCAAGCTCTTTTAAAAGATAATTTATTTTATTTTGTACGAAGCACATTTGTTATCATTGAGGAAATTTTCAATAATTTACATGTTTGTTTTTTTTTTTTAATCTTTATTTTAGCTTAAATAGTTTATGTTTAAAACCAATGCGACCTTTATATTGTTTAAAGGGCCTGTGATTTTTTTAAAATGATGTTTTTCAACTATTTTCGATACCTTAACTCTCTGCAGTCCGACTATAGAGAAATGGTACTTATAAGTACCATAGATTTTGTGGGTGGGTTATTTATTTTTTAACTTTTTTTTTATTGAAAAAATTTATTTATTATATTTTAATAATTTGTTTCATTAGCTTAAGTATTTGTAAAAAAATTAAAATTATTACAAAATTTGAAATTACTATTTTAAAAAATTTTTTTGGGAAACTTATTCATCGCGGAGTATCCCTTGAAAGCTTCGCAGATTTCCAAAAAAACAAAAAATATGAGTCTCACAAAGAAAATTAAATAGTAGTATGGATATTGTCAAATGATTTTAATTTCCCGATTTATCAAGGAGTTATTTGTTTGTCTAAAGTAATGTATCCAAATGGAGACTCTAATCATGAAATTTATCACGATTTACATAAAAAAGTACAGACTAATGCTATCGTAAACAACTAAGCTTAATTTTAATTATGATTTCCCGACTTTAAAATTAATAATAAAACAATAAAGTGATATTTTTAAAATTTTAATTGGCTGAAGTATATATTATCCATTTATACTTATATTGATATATTCTATTTGAATTTTATTGAGTTTCAGTAATTATAAAATAAATAAATAGCGTCGCTATGCGAAATATATATCTAAAAAAAAATTGCGGCAAATTTCGGCCGATTGGAACTTGCGTAATTAAATAAATTTAAAGTTAAGGACTTCTGAGATTCTGAGTTATTAACTAAATATATTTCTTTAAAATATGGTACAGCCAAGAATAATCATCTAAATTTTCTAATAATGCATAGTAGAAATGTGCTTAAATTTAATTATCATTATCGCTAGTCACTAGTATTAGTAGAGACTACTGTCGGCAGAATAAAAAAAAAAAATTATGTTTTTATTAAAAGCTCTCTAACTCTAATGGGAAGGAGGAGAGAGAGACAAAAATGCATATATTGGATCAAGAAGCCCTTATTCGTTATTGATCCTAAATATTAAGCCTTGACTCCACCCTTTTACTGAGTTACAGAGTTACTGGATGAATATCTTTGAAGATTTTTACCCTTAAAACAAGTGGTGGTAAGTTTTAATCTAATCACTTGGTAGCAAAATGCATACAGAATAAAATCACAATATTGTTACAACATATGTTATAATGTATTTCCTATGTACAATGGTTTACTTTTGTTCTAATTTAGGCATTTGGACTAGGATTAATGGTATTTTCCTTTACTGATAGCATACCATTACTGATACCATTAGTGTTAATTTATTTATGAATCAATCAATTTTTTTTTTTTCACAGGTTCTTTCTTTATTGAGTGAATATTCTGTGGTGAAAAATCTTACCTAATCTTATGTAGAAATCAAGTCCAGGACACGCTCTTATTTATCAAATATAATTATTATAATAAAACTGCAGACTGTTTTAAGAAATAATATTTGTTCAGAGTCCATAAATATAATTAAGGAATACTGTAGTTTATCAGCCTGTGTTATGTGAGGATTATAACAAAGATATATAAAAATGCCGGTACATGGGAAAAAATAGATCACATTAGTGAGGAATGGATTGTATTTGACATGAGTATCAAAATAAGCATTATTGTACTGAAACATTTTAATTTTTTTTAAGTTTAACATCAGCGAATACCGCTAGTTTAAAATGAAAAAAAACAACATTGACTCTTGTTTTGAGCAATTTATATAATCATTAAATTTTACTTAGTTATCTGTTACTCAAGAATTATTAACAAATATATTTAATATACAAATCTATAAGCTATGAGGCCCATTTTTTTAAATATATTACATACAAAACATAATTTTAATTAAAAGAAAAATTATAGAGCATTTTTTAGGAAAAAAAGACAAAATATAGGTTTTGCTAAAATGTTGACAACTTTTTGATTGTTCATAGAATTTTTGTCATGTTTGACTATGAATTGTATTAGATAGGGGTGTGCCGGATCCGTTTTTTCCAACCGGATCCGGTTCCGGGTTTTCTTATGCGAAATCCGCCGGATCCGGATTCCGGTTTCCGGATTTGGTACTTTGCAGATACCGGTAAATCTGAGGGGTTGGATGCCTTCTGAACAGTTGGCCTAAATGGCTAAATGACATTGGCTGATTGGAAGTTGGATGTGAAGAACTTTGAAATAAATTAGAAAATAAAAATTTTTCATCATGTATGGGATTGGGCCGATTGGCCACTATTAGCGGTGCTGACTCTAGCCTCTGGTAAGTTCGGAATATTAAACATTAAACAAGCTCAACGCTCGAAACAATCGATTAATGTATCATGATCGTGTGGAATTCGGGAAAGAGTATGTTATAGAGAGCTTGTTTACATCATATTTTCTCGTGCGTGCCCTCTGATTGACCCCGCATGAGACGCTGTGTTCACAAAGGGGTGTGGTTTAGGCCTTTGAAGTAACTTGTTGACGCCGCCAACGAATAAAAATAATTAATCTGTTCCAAATAGTATTTGGTAGAATGATTGGGATTTTTCTCGAAATGTCTCGAAGGCAGGGCTTGGGCGTCGGTAGACCCACCTATATAAGGGATTGACAGGCACGGAGGAGGGACGGAGATTTCCGATAGATTTTCTTAACATTACGAGGCGTGTTTTATTCTTTGTGTATTTGTGTGCTCCTACTTATATGTGTTTATTTCGCATTATTTATTGGCATCATTATTTCTAATTGTATTAACTGTGTATGATTTTCTTAACATTACGAGGCGTGTTTTATTCTTTGTGTATTTGTGTGCTCCTACTTATATGTGTTTATTTCGCATTATTTATTGGCATCATTATTTCTAATTGTATTAACTGTGTACCGGTACGACATCTGCCATACTGTAAGTTGAAGATTGTAATTTTATTTTATTTTGTAATTATCTTAAGACATAATAAATCTTAATTAATTGTAACTAGAAACTGTTTTGGGTCGTATCTTTAATATTGTTGATTCTATGGTATCGTCCTTTGTTAGGCACTGTTTACATCGAGCCAAATTAAAATTAAAATAGGAGATTAATTTCTCCCAATACACGTCAGTGCGTAACAAGTATTACTTTTATTTCAGATTATGATCCGGTGAGTCACAAAATCTGGCAAATTTCGAAATCCGGTATATTTCGGATTCCGGTTGTTCCGGATACATGTAAATCCGGCGGAACCGGATTTCACCGGATAGTGCAAAATCCGGCGGAACGGATTCCGGCACACCCCTAGTATTAGATGATGAAGTATTTTATTTAAATAAATTTTAAATCTTTTAAAACAAGGATTTTTTTTTTCCTTCATACTGTGTGAAAATTTTGTCAAAACTTTGCATAAAAGGAAAAAAAATAATTCTCCAATAATGTTTCAATTATTTTTATAACTAAGAAAATAAAATATACAAAAAATATCTAATAATAGCTGAGTCAAAGATGAACAAGTTAATATATTTAACTGATCAGATCAGAGCTATTTCAGATCAGTTAATTAATTATTTTAAAAAAATCACCTTAAGATTTTTAAGAAATGTGAAAAAAACGTCAGACTGCAGAGAGTTAACTTAGGATTTTTCATTTATCTCTGACATCAGATGTATCAGGAGGAAAAGTGTTATTGCTATATGCTTCAAAATTTTCAAGGTTTTTTATATTATACATAATGATTAATGTTTTTTAACACATGTCTCATAATAAGAATTGATGAGGAAAAGTATTGTATCTAGATACTTAAAACTTGCAGGCTTATTTCTATTGATACTCTGTACATTATGATTGATGATTTTTTAACAAATATCTCTTAGGAAAATTTTTGTTATTAGTATATTTTATTTATTAGGCTCATGGGGTGGTGTTTGAATAAATGTGTCATTTTATTTTCGATCTGTTCTGTCTATGTTTTTAATTTGTTTTTTAATTAATGAATGGTATATGTCTATTGTGTATCCATCCTATATTGTTCATGTAGCCTGTGTTTAAAAAAAAAAAAAAATTTTTAAACTTCTTTTTCATCTTTCTCAACTTTGCCTTTTTCAGATTTTTAGTAATGCCAAATGTATGAGCAGAAAAAGTTTTATAACTACGGACTTCAAACCAAACTTTGCATGCTTCTTTCCATTGATATTCTCTACTTGTCAATGACATGATATTTTACATCTATCAAACAGAATTTTTAAAATTATTTTTTTACATATGCTACCCTACAAAATTGTCAAATTTCTATGTTACTCCACAAAGATGGTATTTGCAGCTCTCCTAATCATTATAATGCAATAAGCTCTTTAATAGTGTTTTAACAATGTTATTATTTATCAGTGTGCAAAAGTTTCATTGTGATATTGCAAAACCTCTTGTCTCCATAACTATGCCATGCGTAACTGTAAAAATTTGTATAAAATTATACTTTTTTGAAATAAAAGTCACACAAAAAAATTTCAAAATAAATGTATTTTATCTTTCTATTAGTGTATAGATGGTATGTACAACGTACTAAAAGAAAAATGTTAATTAATGTTTGAAACAGAAAAAAATTTTTGACCCATAGACCACCTTAAGCCTTAAGTAGGCATACCGATACTCCCTTGCGCATTCATTCTGCGCATGAGGAAAAAAAACGCAAAAATTGAAGTGGCCATCTTACTATTGCTTCTACGGTGACCTCGGATTTATGCGTTTTACGTCACAGTTTCCAATTTGTACATTTGTTTTGTCATCGATGACGTTTTATATTTGTATTCCGGTGACGCACATGTCGTTAGAGCAACTGGATTGAGCTCTGTTCTTTTCTTGTGTCACTTTGAACATACGGTAAGCTATAAAATGTATTAAATACTCCGTTTTAGCAATAATGTCACATTAAAACCTTTAAAAAACAGTTAAGCATTCAAATAGGGTGGGGAATAACTTTGAAATAGCCAATTTATGCTTTTCCAGTAGAATGAAGTTTCCTTCCAATTGTCATGACCCCACCAGCACCGGAAAAAAAAAAAATGGTGGATTTTTTTTTTTGCACCGGTATGATGAAAGGGACTCTAAATTACTTTCAATAAGATAGTTTTATTACATTAGTAATCTTTGAACATCGAAATAAATCTAATAAAAGTAGTAAAATGTATTATAAAATATTACAGAAACTGATTTGATGATTAAAATGATAACAATTCCATTGATTGTTGAAGTTGAAGCTTTTTTTTTTTTTAATAAAGGCCAAGAATCGTCGTATATAATTATATAATTATTATAATAATATAGTATTAGTATATAATAATATTAATAAATTAATATGCAAAATACAATAAAAATAGTTAAATAGTAATAGAAATAAGTTTAACTAAGTAATAAATGAACATGATATTGAGTTGACTTAGTTTAAGTTTAGTAGTGGATTAAACTCCTTTTTATTTTTTTTTATCTTAACTGATTACTACTTGGTCACTTATTATAATAAAATGTAACAGTCTAACAATAGCCAAGTTATAAATTATATAGTATAACATAGTATAATAGTTATAAATGTAGGCAATAATAGGCAGTATCAGTATCAGTGATCAGTGTTTAGTATTCTGTAGTGTAGGCTTAGGCTATTTCTATAAAAATAAATCATAGAATGATTCAATTCATACCCAGTGATAATTTTAGTTATGCTAGCATCTAACAGAATTCTGATATTTTTTCCATCTCCAATCAATTTTCAATGCGGATAGTGATTAGTGACATCTGACAAGAAAATCAGAATAACAAATCATAAAATTAAAATGGCAGGTACAGCTGAGTGCATCATCGGCTCCAAAAGATTTACTACAAAAGTATTAATTATATTATTTGCACTGTATGCTAAGTAATTACGTAGTAGGCCTAAAACTAAGAACTATTTAGCAGAACAATTCTGAATTTAAAAAAAGGGCGTTTCCAAATTCAACATGCTTTTTTAAATCCAAAGAGATACTGAAAGATTGAGCAGTAGGCCACAAAAACGATGACGTCACAATTAATTCCGACCGACGGCATAGCCGATACGGAATACTTAATACTAGTCTAAAGAAGAGCCTGAACTAGTAAAATAAAAGACAACTCAGATAAAGTACTTACAAAAAAGCAAGGCATATCTGATTTGCCTATAATCTTAAGTTATTTTTTCAAATGTTTGTTAAAGAAACTAACCAATGTCAAGAAAGTTAAAGTGATCACGATGTCACAATTTAAGAGATGCGCGACAAGATGACTGTTAGTTGTTTGACATCGACAAGGTCGGCAGCCATATTTTACTTGAATGCATAGCAATGCTAGGAAGTTGCTGATTGGTTATCCTTCTTGCCGTTGTCACGATCGGCAAATATCGTCATTTTCCGTATTGACCAGCGATCTAACTACAAGTAGGCCTACTTTACATTGTGCTCTAATAAGTTTAGGCCAAGCATTGTCATGTGATTAATTGACTACAGTTTAGTTTAGATTTTTAGAAATTCCGAGAATAGCCACCTCTTTTTTTAAAGTTCAATTGATATGTTTCTGAATAATGTGTGCATAAAATTGAGTTAAATTTAAAAATAAATTTTTTTACCTTGAATAAAAATTGAATAATTTTTAGGCCTATACTATATGGTTTGAGCCTCGACTTCCAGGAAGTTTGTTTACATGATTTTAAATTAATTTTTTTTATATTTTCTTGAAAATGTATTAAGTGATTTGATTGCATAGCATAGTCTATAGGCCTACTAGTCTTTCCCAGTACAAAGGATCATGTTAAATCCCCACGAACCCAAACGCACGGTGGGACCGTCCATAAAGTGCGTCTCTCTCCGAACGAAAACAAAAAAAAAAGGGGGGGGGTGGGGTTGGGATACAAGAAAGTGAAACGCTTTATGAAGATTTTGTTTGACGTCACACATTTTTTATTCAACCACGTAAAACCTACAGTGCCCCACCCCTGTTAAACCCCCACGAACCCAAACGCACGGTGGGACCGTCCAAAAAGTGCGTCTCTCTCCGAACGAAAACAAAAAAAAAAGGGGGGGGGTGGAGTTGGGATACAAGAAAGTGAGACGCTTTATGAAGATTTTGTTTGACGTCACACATTTTTTATTCAACCACGTAAAACCTACAGTGCCCCACCCCTCGGAGATATAAATATAGCGGAAAGAAACCCTGACTGGAGTCTAAAGTTGTGCGAAAGGTATAGAGTCTAAAAAGGTGACATCTTCCAAAAAAATATGGTGTACCAACTACTTCTGCCGCAACAAATTCCATGTAATTTTGTTCTAAATAAAAAGTAATTATATTTTTGTTTAACTTTATTTCTACACCCCCATCTCAGAGTGCCCCGAAGAGGTCCCAGCCAGATACAGATATGTAAAAGTCCTGGGTTCATGCTGTTCTTTATTTCATAATTATATTTCATTTTAATGTCATGATTATGTCTCTTTTGATAATATTTTTATGTACAGCGCGGTGAGCCTAGCCCTAGGCTGGGGTACCGGCTATAAAAGCCCACTTATTATTATTATTATTATTATTATTATTATTATTATTATTATTATTATTATTATTATTATTATTGTTATTATTATTATTATTAGTAGTAGTAGTAGTAGTAGTAGTAGTAGTACTATTATTATATGGCAACCCTAGACACAAGGGACGCTACACTTAAAAATAAAATTAAAGAACAGTTAAACAGTAGGACGACTTACCATCCCTCAAATAGGCAATGAAAATAGTACCGCATTTCTGGTTACCATGGAACTTCTCAAATAGTAAATTATTAATTATCGTTTCATAATAGCTGCCAACTTCACAATTTCAAAATTGTACAAAACCATATCGAAATAATAAATAAATAAACAATCTTTATTTTTTTGCTGGCATCCGTCCGTCACAATGTGACGATGGAGTGGGCTTCGGAGGACAAAATCCACATGGCTTGGGATTACTCTTCAAGGATTATTAGCTGGTTCCCAACAGCAAATCGCCAATGACGTCGCAGGAGTTGTCAGAATGTTTCATTGTATCGATGAGTCCCTTTCGGGACTCCATCTCCGTGTTTGATTTCAGGGTTTCCTTCTCTTAGAAGAGTTGCCATCCAAGGTTAACGAGTCCCATCCACTCGGGGTGCTGGTGATGTTTTTGCTTGACTGGGCTCTGGCTGGAATTGAACTCAAGACCACCAACTTAAGATTTGCTCAGTTTAGGCCATCCAGCACCCAGTTAAAACAATCATTATAATGTATACAAAAACACCCAGCATCGCATGTCTCAATCAAAGAAGATGACTGAAGTTTATAATATAGGCCCCTTTTTATTATATAAAGCGCTGAAAATAAAAATGTGCCCGTCATCGCTATTTTTTTATAGATGAAGCTTTCCATTGATAACAAATAAAATGTGGTCGGGCGATTTTAAGTAGCCTATACTATATGATATATGAATCGAATCGGTAAAAATTAAAAACATAATTTTAAAAATTTAATGACTTTTAATATTTAGGGTAAGCTAAACAAAATAATTTTTTTTTAATGTTCTATTATTTTTTAATGTTATCATTTAAGTTTAAATTTTAAAAAAGCTTCTTTCTGAAACCAAATATATCGAAACTCAAAAATACACATACATTAATATTTTTTTTGATTCACTAGCACCGTCCTTTAACATTTTATTAAAGTACGATTAGTGACGATTGGGATGTTTGCATTATAAATAACTTTCCGGACTTGGCTATAATTGAAATTATTGAATACTTTCAAATAGAATAATCTATTTAATAGGATGGTTATTAATTATTAAATCAATTTAAAAACATTGAATACTTTTATAAGAAACAATAATTAACCACAACTTGAGTCTTTTTCAGTAGTGTTAGGGTTACCCCAAATTAATTTTATGAAAGTGAAAGGTCAATAATTAAGCCTAATAGTAAGAATCTTATTTATATTTTCCTATAAGTACCCAGTCCTAGTCTTATAAGTCTACTTACACAACTTACTCCTACCTATACTAGGGTGACCAAATCATAAACTGGCAAAAACGGGACACACCCAAGAAGGGTTTGGTTGGGGGGGATACCCTCCAGCTAAAGAGGGGTAACAGGGGCCTCCGCCGGAAACTGTTTATTTAAATATGCTCATTTTAAACTATTTTGATACCTTTTTTTAATCTAATTTAAACTACGAGGCATATCATAAACGAAAACAATAATTTTGCAGTGAATATGGATTTATTTATACATATAAGATCTGCATAAGACAGGGACACTGTCGTTTATGCAGGGTCGGCAGAGTGGTGGACGGGAAACAGTGAAGCAATCCCCCGAGCCCACATCACTACTGGCACTGGCTAAACAACTAGCCTACATATTACTTGAAGTTAAATTATAAATTAGGACTTTCAGTGATTTGACTGTCCGCGGAAGCGGAGCGTCTCCGAGGAAACTTGGAGGCGTCCACATGGGGTTTTGCCTCTTCGTGGCAGAATAATAAGGAGGTTTTCTCCCGAAGCTACAAAAAAAACCCCGGCCACTTGCATGACTCCCAACGCAACGGGAGTAACACAATAACATGATGACTTTTTGCCGTTAATGGATATGAGGCCTGGGTGGCCGTTAAAACCTTTGCCGATGATTTTTAGCTACGCGGCCCTGAGAAAGCCGCTCCTAGGAGACCGTTTCGTCTCAGCTTTTGTCCCGACCAGACAACTCCCTGGGGGGGGGGGGGGGGGGGGGGAGTAACGCAACACCTTTCCACCGGAGAGGAAGCAAAGCCGTTCAGACCCAAGGAGAGTGGACTGCGAACGCTTTAAACGCAGCGTTTTCAGTCGACCGGAGTCCCCCAGGCCGGGGGGAGCTTCCCGGCGTGCTTCCGCATGGTCTGGCGACGGGGAGACCTCGCGTCGGCCCATTTGGGGGTGTGCCGGGGGGTATTATGAGCTCGCGCTCGACGGTCCACCGACGCCATCTCCAAAGTGACGTTATGAGGGATTTAAAAATGTGTTTGGTTTTAGAAACGGGATATTTAGACGCCCCGAGAGACTTTTTCGGGAGACCAGGTACGATCGTGAACAAACGGGACAATCCTGTTTTTACAGGATTATATGCCATTAAAAGATCAGCAGAAAAAGTAGTGGGTTTTCAGCAAGCCAACAATAGAGTAGGCTGGTTCCACAATTAATGCAGAGAGACTGTGGAAGAAAGAAACAAAGCACGAATGATCATGTTACAAAGGGAAACCAGAAAGACAACACAAACATACAAGAAAGCCAGAAGGAAAGCAACAAAAATGTGTAGGAAGAAAAAGAAGGAATGGGAAAAAGATAAACTAAAGGAAATAGAAGATTTATCAAGAGAGGGAAATATAAGAGGAATGTGCATGTAGATAAAAGATGAAAAGAATGAATACCAAGCCAGACCGCAAATGTGTGAGAGCCACGATGGAGTATTAATCACGGAAAATAGTAAAGTACTGGAGAGGTGGGCTGAATATTTTGAGGACATACTGAATGCAGACAATAGACAAGAAGAAGATTATCATCCCCCACAGGGAGGACCAGACCCTTGTATACAATGCCCAACCCTAGAAGAAACCAAAGAGGTAATTAATTATATGAAAAATCACAAAGCCCCCGGACAAGACCTCATCACAGCAGAACTGATTAAATATGAAGGAAAAGAACTACACAATCATATACATAAACTTATACTTATAACTAAAATTTGGCAAGAAGAGAAAATCCCGACAGAGTGGGAAACAGCGTTAATAACCCCAATACACAAGAAAGGCTCCAAACTTCATTGCACTAACTACAGAGGAATTTCCCTATTAAATATTACATACAAAATACTGACGAAGCTTATTGCCAAAAGACTACAACCTTACACTGAAGAAATACTAGGTGATTACCAATGTGGATTCAGGCCTAACAGATCAACGACTGGTAAGATTTTCACCATCAGATGCCTATTAGAGAAATGCTATGAATATAATATACCAGTACATCAACTCTATGTGGACTATAAAATGGCCTATGACAGCATCAAAAGAAACTATCTATATGAGACTCTGCAGGAGTTTGGGATACCCAACAAACTGACAAGACTAATACATGTAACATTAAACAACCCAAAAAGCAAAATCAAGATTCAAGGAGAATATTCAAGGGAATTTCATATTAGACGAGGGCTAAGACAGGGAGACTCACTGTCTTGTATGCTCTTTAACCTAACATTAGAGAAAGTTATTAGAAACATACACATTGACACTCGAGGTACGATAACAGGATACTTTCCGA